TTGAGTACCGTCATTATAGGCACAATTAAAGAATAATAGGTTGCGGTCACCGGTGTCCTCGCGGTGTTTGACACTTTAACACTTTAACCATGAAAACGCTAAACTTATGGTTATCAAGGGCAGACGGCAATCACTTTACATAAATACTGTTATTTGTCAACCAATCGACTAGGTAGAAAAAAGATTAGTAGTAAAGAAAGCATATAATATAGATGGATGTAAGTGTGATAAGTTTACATCTTATTAAGATGATACAAAAATAAATAGAGAACCGTAAAACAAAGGAGTTAAGCTTAATTTTCATTCCAGAATCGCTGACGGACTCTAAGCAGTTGAGAGGAGGTGTGATCTTCTTGAACGAGCTGCCATTGACCAGCACATCGAAGGTCAATAGACAAATACTGAAAGAATTAGTGCTAACCTTGCCAAGAGAATAAGATTTTTTTTATAATTAAATATCCTATAATACACTATAAGCGTATTATTTTCCATAATTAATGATTACAATACGATGATCTCATTTAAGGAGATAATAAAAACTGCTAAGCGCGGAATCCTATATTAAGTCTTTCTTTTTTTAGAGGGGATAATCATCCAATGAGTTTTGACGCCCGGTTGAGGCGAGAGCGAGTGTCAGACTCTTACTGATTAAAATCACCCAGTTCCTACTCCTGCATTTGGAGCCGGAGCCCCGGCAACCCGTTGTGTCCTCCGCGGCTCCGTATCGGCATCAGCCCTATTGGGCCCTATCCGTGGTGGTCTGTTAAGTCTTGAATAATCAGGTGCATTAAATTAATGAAAATTGAAGAAGTATAGCTAGTGATTCACTGTACCTTCAGATGGCTATTTATAAAACTAAGTTTACAAAACCATTTTATGATGGTCTCACTATATACAATCTTTTCGCATAGCCAATGGTCAGTTTATACTGGTTTGTATAATTTGATGTGTCAACGTATGTAGTTTGGGGGGTTATTAATGTCCTGGGATACGCGACGCTAGCGTTCCGGCTCGAAGAGCAGGAGTAGGAATGTTGTGGTTTTTAGTCAGTAAGAGTCTGACACTCTTTCTCGAACGAAGGCGGGAGAAGCCATTGGATGATTCACCCCTCTCAAAAAAAAGCGACGTTGCCAGACTTTGCTCGAAATGTCTGGTAAAATCAACGTCACTGTGTGTTTCCTAGCTAAGCTACTAGGTAATCTGCTGACTTACTAGCACACAAGATGGGGTGAATATAAATAAAGTAACTAAACCATAGCTCGCTGTTAAACGCGACAACGCCATCTATCGAGCCATGAGACAAGTTTTGAACAATAATATTTTTTGACTTAAACAATAAGTTTGGTCTTGAACACTGTGGCCATAAGGCGCGTTGTCGCCTTATAATATGTCGGTTGAAATCGGCAGGCTTCGCTTGACATATCGCCGATACATGTCTTGGGACATTGTCCCGTAGTATATCTTTGGCTTCAATGACAACATAAAATATTTTATGTCGCAAAAAAGTATGATTACTGTGGGATAGTTTTGTTTTTATGCTTATTTATAATAATTTATATCAATTATGAATAATAACGACATAACATAACACCACGCCTTTTATCCCCGAAGGGGTAGGCAGAGGTGCACATTATGCTACTGCACAATGTAACAGCCACTTTTCACTATTTATGTTATGTAATAGGGGGTGAGCCTATTTCCATATCGGGCAGAATTCCAGACTCCATGCTACTACTGAGAATTCTGAAAAAACCCAGTAATATTTAGCCCGACCCGGGAATCGAACCCGAAACGCCATGCCCGGCAGTCGCGTTGTGCTTCGTCGTGTCAGTGAGGTTACTGGAGGCCCAATTACTCCCCTTCTCAATCCTCGAATCAAAACAATGTTTAAATTCCTAATCCCCAAAAGGACGGTAACGCACTTGTAACAACCCCGGTGTTTCAAGTGTCGATAGTCGGCGTCGATTGCTTACCACCAGGTGATCAGTCTGCTTGTTTATCGGCTTATTCCATTATTAAAACAAAAACTTGCGTATGTAATTTGATTACTTTGTAGAGTAGATCTAAGGTCCAATATTCATAATCTGTCTGTCAGCATGATTTTCAATTATTTTTATCACAAAACCGACGTATTTATATTAACTGACAGGGATTAAAGATATTTATGAAGGTCAAGATAATAAAAATAAAGATTAGAGATAAATCATAATTGTTATAATTTATTATAATAACATTAGAGCCGTGTGGTAGACGATTGTACTAAGGTAAAGGACATACTGTGGTAGTACAGAAGATTTTTTTTATATAGGTACATTTGGTTGGCCGACGTTTGGCCATTATCTCGCCTGGTGGTAAGCGATGATGCGGTCTACGATGGAGCAAGACAACCCAAAAGCAACCTATTCTCTCGGGCCTTGAAAACACAAAGGACCATACCCTTCAGGAATTACAGACTCTAGCAAAGAATTCCACTCCTTAGCAATACGTACAAGGAAGCTTGATGCGAAATTTATTTGTTCTCGAAAGAGAATATTGCAGTCTATCTGAGCCTGAAAATCTGTTTTGCCATCTGCAATTTCAAGGTTATGACTGTAAGTAATCTTTTTTAGTTAAAGGGGGAACAGCCATCCAATGGCTTTTATCGCCTTGGGTGAGGCGAAAGGGAGTGTCAGACTCTTACAAACTAAAACTCCCCCACTCCTGTACCTGCGTGGAACCGGAGTCCCATTAACCCGTTAAGTTGTTCACAGCTTCGGATCGGGACTATAGGTAGTCTAATCTTTTTTGTTAACCCTACTAGTAATGGGGACGACAGAGGAACGAACGAACTCTTACCGGCTAATACCACAACCGGCCACAACGGTGTTCCTCCACTGCCTGTGGCCATAGCTCAGGATGCCTTTACGGAATCACCTAAAAATTATTGATATTTGATAAACACTCGTTGAGTTACTAAAGTGAGTGCAGAATTTAATAGCAAAGGTTAGAAAGGTGGAGAACGATCAATGAAAAAATGGATAGGGAGGAATGATATGAAAAAGAAAGAAGTTTAGCATAAAATGTTTAATAGAAAAGAATGAAAAAGAAAATACTGATTCGACCACAAGTATAGTATGGGATTGGAGCTGAAAGAAGATTGAAGAGGAAAATTATTGATAGTATTATTTTTTTGGAATTGCTTTCAAAGTCAAAGTCAAAATCATTTATTTTAATTAAACCAGAAAGCCATGTCAACAAAAAAATTAAAAGTGAAGCTATTTGCTCATTTCCAATTCCTGTGGAGAAGAACGAGCAAGAAACTCCATAGGTTATTCTTTTCCAATCAGGTTCACAATATAATTCTCAAGTTACAAGTTTTGCTGTTTAGATTGTGCGAGAACAATGTAGCACTAAAATCCAGTCAAAGTGATCTAAAAAGAAAATATTCTTTAGTAACAACACCCATGAAATCCCCTTAAATTTTTGAACTAGGGATCCTAGGCATCTTAACCTAAGGATCGAAACTTCTTAACTTGTAAAACGCTTACTCGACATTCTATTATAAATAACAATAAAAACAGGGCAGTTTTTTTTCCAAAATTGCTTTTCAAATCGGACAAGTATTCTTTGCACTGTAGATTGCACGCACATTTCATCCGTAGAAGTGACGTCATACGATGTTTACAAGTTCGTAAAAGTCTTACGTTTAATGAGTAAGAAAATGCAAGAATGAATTAGGATCTAACATCACGCCTTTTATCCCCGAAGGGGTAGGCACATAATGCCCCTGTGCAATGTAACACCCACTTTTCACTATTTATGTTATGAGTCCCATGTAATAGGGGGTGAGCCTATTGCCATATACCGGGCACATTTCCAGGCTCAGTGCTACTCTTGAGATTTTTTCGAAAAAAAAGTATCGAACCCGAGACCCCTTGCCCGGCATTGTCTTTTCTTAATATTAATGAATTAGGATCTAATAACTAACCTTAAAGATTAAAATTTTGTACGTCATCATAATTTAATTATAGATTATATATCAGAGTTAAAATCAGATACGTATTCTATCGACTATCTGTGCAAGATAATGGGCTTCACACAGTACTTAGGTTTTGTTTTGTTAGGTACTAAAATTTATCACATTTGGTGTCTGAAGATAAATTCCTAAGACAATGACACAACAATTAATTAATAAACAGTTCACTTAGAGCTATTGTTGAGGACGCTTGTTCTAAGTGGTGTAAATTGATTTCTTAGTTCTAAGATTTATTTGACTCTATTTATTATTTTTTTTATTTGAGTTGTTTGTATTTCTATTTGGATTCGTATTGGTCTCAATTTTCGGTTCTATTAACACAAGTAAGTGTAATATAAATATTTTTTTAGTCCAAATCCCTCATTCCATACACAAAAGGTATCTCTCGACGATTTCAAAGCTAGAGTGATATACATAGAAGCCGTTCATATGTTTGCACTTTGAATCAATAAGATTTTTACATGCCAACAGAAGAGTTGATCGAGTGGTCGCAAGTGCGACTGCCGGGCAAGGGATCTCGGGTTTGTTTTCCTACACCATTTGTCATTACATAACATCATAACATCACGCCTTTTATCCTCGAAGGGGTATGCAGAGGTGCACATTATGCCACTGTACAATGTAAGACTCACTTTTCACTATTTATGTAACGAGGCCCATGTAATAGGGGGTGAGCCTATTGCCATATACCGGGCACAATTCCAGACTCCGTGCTACTATTGAGTATTTTTTAAAAACCCCAGTAATACTTTTCCCGACCTGGGAATCGAACCCGAGGCCCCTTGCCCGGCAGTCAGACTTGCAACCACTTGGCCAACGAAGCAATCTTTTATCCGTTTGTCAGTTGTGTCGAAATGAATCTGATCTGAATGATCTTCGAAAGAGATATAACTGGAATAAAGTCACATTGGTACTTAGCAGGTTTCGGACCCATTAAAACAAATATCTATTCAATTTTTCAGATCCTCCCCCCAATAACAGCAATATGCGGCCTCTGTATGACGCAGTACACTGGTACATGGCAGAAGTTGGAGCTCACGTGGTAGCTAAGACCGGGATCCCTTCAGACAGACATCATATCGGAAAACTGATACTGCACAGCCTTCAAGATGATCCCGACTTTGTGTTCCAGGTATTAGAATTTCTTATTCTGTGAAATAAATGAGTTGAAATGTAGTGGTCGGTGCAAGGAAGGAGAACAGTCAGATACAGATAAATATTAGTATAATGGTGTAATAGACAATATGAATGAAAATTGCAAGGAAAACCGTGGTACGAAATGAAATCACACTAATATTAAATTAACACAAATCAGCCCGGCAGATGGCGCTGCAGTCGGTGTCTAGGTTACTTATCCTAAACGGTTGAACTAAGTAATTTGAATAAGGTTTTGTTTATACATTCAAGTGGATATACAGGACAACGTCTGTTGGATCCGCTAGTTTATTAATATTATAAATGCGAATTTTGTGTTTCTTCGTCAATCACGCTCAAACTACTGAATTGATTTTAATGAAATTACACAAGCAGGGTAAGGCTGACTTACATAGGGGCATAGGTACTTTTAATCCCGATTAAATATTGCTAATGGGATAAAACAGGAATCATATTCTACGCGGACGAAGTCGCGGGCAACAGCTAGTAGAAAATATTAAAAAAAAACTGACATTTATTAACGTTACCTCGAAATTGGTTGACAATAAATTCGATTAATATTTTAAAACCTATCCCTATTAATGTAATTAATGTAACAAACACATTTCTGAACCGCATCAAAATTGGTTCAGTCAACCACGAGATAATCGCGAACTAACATAACATAAAAAATACAGGCTAAACAGAGAACTTTGTTCTGCTTTTGAAGTCGGTTAAAAAAGGATACAAACAGAGAAGAAGCAAGAACTTTTAATTGTTTGTATATTTAAACCACGGTAATAAAAATAACTAAAACAAAAACATAGCAATATACTTGTTTAAGGTCAAAATCACTATTGTGTGTGTCACAGGTTCACTGACACAAACACAATTATAATTACTCTCTACTCTTCTCTGCATTACCCAAAGGTCAGATTTAATACCCTACTATCTACAGTAGGGTATTAAGTCACTGGACTTAATATAATGGCACTGTCCATTATACAAGCATAACGGATAAGAAACAAGTAAATAAAAAAGAATTATTTCATACTGCCTCGTTGGCCGTGTGGTCGCAAGTGTGACTGCCGGGCAAGGGGTCTCGGGTTCGATTCCCGGGTCGGGCAAAGTATTACAAGGTTTTTTTTTTAAATCTCAGTAGTAGCATGGAGTCTGAAAGACCGGTATATGGCAATAGGCTAACCCCCTATTACATGGGACTCATAACATAAATAGTGAAAAGTGGGTGTTACATTATACAGTGGCATTAAGTACCATTGCCTACCACCGGGGATAAAAGGCGTGATGTTATGTTATGTAATTCTTTCATAAACTACGTTTAAAACAACCGATTTTAACACCGTGTTTCTTCATTAATTAATATACTAAAACCGCATCAAAATCAGTTCTGCCAATAGCGAGATACAGGACTGACAATACAGGTCAAACTGAGAACCTAATTTTTTGGAAGTCAGTAATAAAAATAGAGAAAATGAAATAAAACCCAATTGGGAGATCAATGTAGTACCTAGTATATGTGTAGTTACCGTTTGCAAAAAGATTCATTATGCTGACACACTTCAACAGATTGATGGAGCTACGGGAGAATCAGAGACCAACATATCAGCCGCATTCAGGAGTATCCAATGTGCTGTCTCTCTCACTAAGATGGGGCTGAAGAAAGGCGATGTAATGGTTCTTATGGGACCGAACCACATACACTTTAGTGTACCACACAACGCAGCACTGTTTCTAGGGATCATGATGGCACCAGTTGATGTTTCTTTGGTTGTCAGTAAGTATTACTTAAGTTTTTAGAAAGTACAAATCGGGTCTGATACCTGATTCGTCATTATTGGTAAAACAAAGTAAGTATCAGAGGGTTAATTAAAGAGACTGAACTAAAAACTATGACCATGAGTGGCATGCAGTGCATATAGGCAAATAGACTTTGCCTCCCTTATGCGCCTGTCACACACTCGACGAGTGGTATTTTTTTTATGGGACAAGCCCGCCACAACCTCCCAAAACCGCTGCAACTCCTGTAAGCCAGGATCTACAGTAGATACAACCATGAAAACACCGGAACACTGAAGTCCGGCGCGTCCTAGAGGCATGAGTAACTGTCTTGGTTACCGCAACGAAGTGAATCAGAAGATATTATAAGAAGAGAAGAAGAAAAAACTATAGTTTCCACTTACCTCGGTGAATTACTGCAGGAGACAGAATGAATGAAGCCTAAAGACACAAAGAAGAGACTGTACAACTGGGTGAAGCCCAATGAAGCCCGTGGTGCCTGGCGACGAGTGATATGGGAACTGGAAGTAACGAGTTAAGGAGCCAGAGACATGGTGTGGCAACATTACTCGTCGTACGACACGTCATGGTCCTCGTCCTGCCCACTGCTTTCAATTTTGTCGGTTTTTTAGCGTGAATCAAAGGGAAGGAGGTAACGCGGACCGACAACAGGAGCGTCGCGATTAATTGCGCAAGTAGAGCAGTGTGTGGGCAGGGAGGGTAAAATCACAGTAGCGCGATGAGCATAACGATGAGCAGCGCAATGAGCATAGTTTGGCAGGCGCATAATAAATTTCGTGAAGAAATAACATACATAAACTGTACAAACGCGTTTATTAAGAATCAATAACATAATAAAAGTTTGTGAAAAACGCCTAACCTTAAATATACATTCACATATACACGGACCGCATGCCTTTGATGACCATATGCCATCACTTCCCTCAGATAAAGTGCGAATTATTACTGAGTAGCAATCCATCTAAATGTAGTATAATATCCAAGTAATGGAAATATTAAATTCACAGATGAATTGAAACAAATATTTGAAACGAATCGACCGAAGATAATTTTCTGTCAAAACGAAAAAGCAAAAGAAATTGAAAAGGCATTAAATTTAGCAGAAGTGGTAGCTAAAATCGTTACATTTAATGAAAGCAGCGACTATACTACACTAGCCCAAGTCTTAGAAGATGCAGATGACGAAGAAGTCGCAAATTTTAAGTACGTATTCACTTTAACCAATTTATTAACCAGTCATTTCAATTTTTTAATTACTCCATAAGGCGCTCACCACCATAATGCTAGTTTAAAGTATTTTAGGATAATAAATAATAGTCTCATTACTAGATTCTTGATATTAACTTCTTTGCAAAAGTATTGGGAACCTATAAAACCTAACACCATTTATAATCGATTAAAAAATATCTATAAATTACTCAGAAGATATCCCAATTATTGCAAAATTCATAATCCGGATGGTGGTACAATCTATTAGGTACTCTAAATATATTTCAATATTGGTTATATTCAACCAAATATCCTATTCTATTTTAGGCCAACAGATTTTGATCCAGCGGAGACGGTAGCCTACCTACCTTCAACCAGCGGTACTACGGGGATTCCAAAAACAGCAATGCTGACACACAAGAACTTAAACATCTTAGTGCCTTACATGTGGTTAGCAATATCTTCCTTATAACAGCTTATAATCATCACCACAATTTGAATTTGATCTATACTGCCTTAAAATGTGTCTGCCTTAACCTGTCTTTATATACCAGCAAAATATTATATGATATTTTTCTGGTCACCGACAACATTTTTTAATTTATCCTGATGAAAAAAGCAAGTTCCTGAAGTTGGATACCCTGCTTTAATCCATTAGCAATAGAGTATAAAACACAACAAATTCAAATTACAGAAAACTTGGATGATAATAGTATTATGTTCTTTCCCTCAGGTCAAGTTGCACACAATTTCCAACACCAATCAGAATGATGTTTGTGACGTCACCACCCCAATGGTTGTCAGCTGGGTTCCACTATGTCTTCTCCGCGATCTTGAAGTATACCCGACTACAGACATCTGCTGAACTGACTCCAGATCACTTTGCTGAACTTGTCAATAAATATAAGGTAAACAAAGAAGTTTCAAAGTGAATACCATGTAGCTGACATGACGATGACGACAATGGTGTTGAACATAACATAACATAACATAACATAACATAACATAACATAACATCACGCCTTTTATCCTCGAAGGGGTAGGCAGAGGTGCACATTATACCACTGTACAATGAAACACCCACTTTTCACTATTTATGTTATGAGTCCCATGTAATAAGGGGGTGATCCTATTGCCATATACCGGGCACAATTCCAGACTCCGTGCTACTACTGAGAATTTATTTAAACCCAGTAATACTTTGCCCGACCCGGGAATCGAACCCGAGACCCCTTGCCCGGCAGTCGCACTTGCGACCACTCGGCCAACGAGGCAGTCACGATGGTGTTGATAAAGCAAAAATGCATGTTAATAACATATTTATAGTAATTACATTACACTTTGCGAAGGAAATAGAGATTTATGTTACATCTTTCGTAAGACATGCTTTCGTAAGACATTCTTATGTTTTTCGACTTACTCACGTAACTATTTGACGAGGAACTCGACTGGGTACCTACTACTACTCCCGCGACGCGTCATGAAATGCTGCTCATGAATATGAGCCTCTAGCATGGCTTGATACTAGTCGAGTTCCTCGTCAAATAATTACGTAAGCCGAAAAACATAATAACTGAAATAGATATTATTACCACATTACAAAGTTCACAGATTTTTGACGAATGCATGCAACTAACAAATGATGAAGAAGATTAAGACACAGTTTTAATAATTTCTATGCAAGATTATAACGTAATATTCGTCTTGTAATCCTCAAATTGACAAAAGCGAACCCAAGACGTGTGGTTTACGTGGACAAACAGTCTTAGCCAAAAAATAGGGTAATTGCCAGAGTAAGAAAATTAAAAATGTAATTAGTCCGTCAGTTAGATAATGGATAAATGTAAGCCAATGTACATACATTGGCTTACATTTATCTAATCTGTAAAATTCTGTAATATTCTGGTAAAATAATTTAAAACACATGTTTTAAAATGACGGGCATTAAAATAAAATTTAGGAAACTATTAATAATATATTGTTTCTTTCCACAGCCATCCTGTCTAATGACCAGTCCAACTATGGTGCAGACCATGATAGCAAAAGCGAAATGTGATTTCACCTGCTTCGAGTTTATAGCGATGGGTGGCAGCGCTGTACCATATGATCTTGTAGAAAAAACGAAGGTAATGCTTAGAGCTTACAAATAATTAGTTTTTTTCAAACTTTAACTTATTAATTATTCCAATTAGGCCACTAAAAGGCATTTTTGAATGCCAAACAAAATAAAATGTGTCAGTCTGTTGGACAGTCCTCTAGGGAAACTATATGCTCCTCCCAAAGTGTAGTTTATTTCTAGTTGCAATGGAGCATTTTAAGAAGCTGCAGAGTGATGTAGGCCAGATACTTTTATACGCCTATGACCACGCGAGAGAACCAGTTGAAAATAAATACATTATACTTCGAAGGGCTTTACAGAAAAAAAGACTCTATAATTTATATTTTAAGTCAGATAACCAATGAGCTACCTCATTAATTGAGTGATTTTTAATTTGATATGTTTCAGAAAATTGCAAACACAGAGAAGGTTATTATTCTCTACGGTATAACTGAACTTAGTGGTCTCGTCGTCCAGCACGAGTATCCAGCAGCTCCAGGGTCTTTCGGGAAACCTGTTGGTTGTGTGGATGTCAAAGTGAGTACATATATGCTAGTTAAATATTGTTATCTATATATATAAAAGAAAGTCGTGTTAGTTACACCACTTATAACTCAAGAACGGCAGAATAGATTTGGCTGAAAATTGGTAGGGAGGTAGCTTAGAGCCAGGAGACCGACATAGGATACTTTTTAAACAATTTTTTTTTACTTTTTACCAAAAATCACGAACGGGGACGGGAAAAAATGGGATTACGCGTACCTACGAAGTCGCGGGCAGAAGCTAGTTTAATATATAATGCACTTATTTTTATCGTCAATCAGCAAGTCCCTTACAAAAGTGGCGTAACCAAGAACCATTCACTCAATTTCACTAAATCTAATCGGATCCCTTAGTACAAGTTTCATAATCGTAACGAGTACACGTTCGACACTCCGATTGGCCGGCGCCAATGAAGCAACCAATCAGAGCGCCGAACGCGTACTCGTTACGATTACTTTAAACATAAAACAAACTTGTACTAATGCCTCAGAGGGCCAAGCACGAATAATTATCGCATTCGTATCGTAACAGTATCGAACGCGTTAAGCGTTCTGATAGGTTGGTTCACTTGAGCCGGCCAATCAGAGCGCCGAACGCGCTCGATACTATTACGTTACGAATGCGATAGTTATTCGTGCTTGGCACTCAGAATGTCGAAACGTTACGTTAGTAGTACTAAATTAACTCGATGAAAGCTGTTTAAAAACTAAACGATCGATTAATTTGCCTCTAGCAATATCTTTGTAACCTTCCTTAAAAAAATGTTTCAGATTGTGGACCCTGAAACTCATGAAGAAATATTGGAGCCTAATGTTCCAGGAGAAATTTGGTTCAGAGGTCCAAACGTCTTCAAGGTGAGAGATTAAAAATGTATTCTTATACTTAAGCGGCTAACCCACCTTGAGCAATCATCATCATCATCATCAACAGCCTATAATATCCACTACTGAGCATAGCCTCTTCTCACACAGATAAGGTTTGAGCATTAATAACCACGCTTGCTTAATGCGTGTTGGCGATTACACACTTACAAATACAAATTATAAGCCCAGGTTTCCTCACGATTTATCCTTCACCGTTTGTCAGAGGTGTCTAGATAATCTTAGAAAGTACATATAACTCGGAAAAGGTCACATTGATACTTGCCGTTGGTAGGTTTTGAACCCGCACCCTCATGCATGAGAAGCGGGCGTTTTAAACCTCCGGGCCACCACGACATCCCTTGAGCAAGCGTGGTGATTAATGCTCAAAACATTTCTATGTGCAAAGAAGTCCATGCTCAGCAGTAGGCACTTAAAGGCTATTGATGTCTGATGTATGTAAATGGTGGACCGAAAGCTGTAACAGCGTTCAAATAATTATAAATATTCACAGGGCTACTACAACAAACCAGAAGCAACCAAGGAGACGATGACAGAAGATGGCTGGTTTAAAACTGGTGACATTTTCTACAGAGACGAGTCATGGAACCTGTTTTTTGTTGACCGATACAAGTCATTGTTGAAGTACAAGAGTCATCAGGTTAGTTAATTAGGATCAATAAATTCATAATCTTATCTTGTCTCCATAATTTCACTTGACTAGATGTGGTTAATAAATGCATCAACTCCGTAACACCAGATGTGACTAATATTTGGTTTTGAACTTGCTTAAACAAAGCCATGTATTAACGCCACAGAATAGAAGATTTGTTGTCATCCCTACTCAACTAATAATTGTATTTTTCGGCATACTGGGTTCGGCATACTAGTCGAGTTCCTTGTCAAATAATCTTGTCAAATTTGACAAGGAACTCGACTCGTTCCTTGTCAAATAATTACATAATTCAAGGAACTCGACTAGTTTCAAGTCAGCAGCGCTAAATGGCATTCCATTTAGCGCTTGTCTACATGTAGAATAGAAAACCAAATTATATGGAATTGACATAAATTTTGACACTTGTCAGTGTCATTCCCATACATTTTGATTTCTACTCTCACTGTAGACAAGCGCTAAAGTGGCGTTTGGCTAAGGGCCCAGGCTAGAAGCTCATATTCATGAGCAGCATTCCGTTATCCGCGACGCAACGACTGTAGCGCTGCTGCAGGCTACTCGAGTCTGCTGAGCGACCAAGCGCGCCCTCTGCCGTAATTCACGTACTTTCTTCTATCTGTGGTATAGACAACGGCGGCGAGCGTAACACAGCTGCCACGTTAGACTCGTTCGGCGGCGGCTGCGTAGGTTTTTGGTTCGAATCCAAAGTTGACGTAAAAACAGTGTTACATGCCGCGCTAACTGTGTCACACCCCGGCCCCGTAACATTGTACTCTGACGCAAATTTCAAACTCGGTTTCCATCCCTACTCTTCTCGTGGAGTCGTAAGTTCCGACAAAGGGATTAAACATTTGGCACGCATCAGGCAAAGCGCTCTCTGGTAAACTCTCAATATTTTAAACTGGAGTCTTCAGCCCACTAATTGTAAAGATGGCAAATTCTCTCATGGTAGAAGGTCCATACACAAGTGAACTTTCGTCATCTTTGCTAATGCTAATATTGCTTCAAGAACCACTATCCATGTTTCAGGTGTCTCCAGTGGAAGTCGAGGAGGTGATAATGAAGCATCCAGGAGTTATGCTAGTAGTAGTAACAGGTATACCAGACAGGGAGTGTGGGGATCTGGTGGTGGCATGCGTTGTACCTAAGCCAGGCTGCAATCCCACAGCGCAGGAAATCGAGGATTTGGTCAAAGGTACATAAAAATACAGTAATATACTTGATGAAATAACTGATACTGGATTTAAATAAAGATTTCTGTCAACTTTTTGAAATCTTCAGTAACAGCAATTCCATGATTCCAGAGGTACCTAGTAGTGTTTTAGAATGGAAAGGAAAGGGAGACTTTTTTGGTATTTTTATGTTATTTTGAAAACACTGCCCCTTACTAGGATTTTCTCCTGTGACGTGGGTGCGTTCACAAAGATACCCAGACCCAGAACAACAATCTGTGGATCACGCAAAGAGTTGTTCCGTGCGGTAATCCAACCAGCGACACATTGCGCGGCAGCCAGTTGCCCCAACCCCGCTAACCGTGCAGTATATAGGAACAACATTGATTTTCTTACAATGAAAATACAGAACAGAAAGAAGACTGCCTCGTTGGCCAAATGGTCGCAAGTGCGATTGCTGGACAAGGGGTCTCGGGTTCGATTCCCGGGTCGGGCAAAGTAGGACTGGGTTTTTAAAAAAATCTCAGTAGTAGCACGGAGTCTGGAATTGTGCCCGGTATATAGCAATAGGCTCACCCCTATTACATGAGACTCATAACATAAATAGTGAAAAGTGGGTGTTACATTATACAGTGGCGTAAGTGGCCATTTCGGGGATAAAGTTATGTTATGTTATATTATGAAAATACAGAACTATAAAGTAACAAAACCAATGATACTCTTTGCAGAATCCCTATCAGACTCCAAGCAGCTGCGAGGAGGCGTGATCTTCATGAAGGAACTGCCAACGACCAGCACATCCAAGATCAACAGGAGAGCACTAAAAGAAATAGTCGCCAACTTACCGAGAGAATGAAATATGAACAACACTCCAAAAAATAAAAAAGAGCGTCTGATCTTCATGTTTCATTTCCTATATCTGCTTTACCATCAACTACAGTAAAACCCGCTTAAGACGATTTCTCAGGGACCTTACCAAAAACGCGTCTTAAGCGAGAAAGCGTATTATGCGGGATAGGGAAAATAAAAAAAAGTACTACTTATTATTATGTAATATGTTCTAATTTTTGTAATTATACATTTATAAATTACGTTAAATACGTAGTGTAACTAAAATTACATTATTTAAAATAATCACTTATTTTGGTTTGACAAAAAGATTTTGATGCATTAGCAATTAAAAGATTTTCAACATAATTCAACTTTTGCAGTGCGTCTTCGCTTTGATCCATAGAAGCTACATAGCGTCTTAAATCATAAACAGCTGATAATGCCTGGGCGTTTGACAAAACCGGAGTTGACTCATCTTCGTCTTCATCATTATCACTTAGGGCTTCGTTTTGTGTGTTGTTCACATTCTCAATAAGATCTTCAATTGATTGAATTTCGTACGGTGCTACATTGTCATCAATAGAAGAGTATCCAGGAAAACCCTGCAGTATCTCGGGTTCTTCTTCTTCCAACACGACGTCAACCACGTTGTTCTCTTGCTGCTCGGCGTGTATTAAACAGGATGACGAATCGTATTAAGCGTTAAGAAATGTATGAAAATATATTTTAAGTTGCAGGGACCGACGTAAAATGGCGTATTATGCGAGAAATCGTATTAAGCGTGATCGTCTTAAACGGGTTCTACTGTATATTATTATTTATTTATCAGGCTGTTGACTTCCTCAGTAAGCAAATAGTCGTAAGCGTGATTTGCCTAGTTAGAGATTCTGGGCTTTATTCTTCGGTACACAAAGTTTTAAATGGTGTAACAATAAGCAATAGGTACCGCCCGTGAACACCTAAAATACCAAGGGTGTTACAAATGCATTACCGGCCCTTTGGGGATTAGGAATTTAAGAATAGTTAGGGATTCGGGGATTGGGGAGTCTGGGGAGGGCGGTATTTGGGCCTCCGGTAACCTCACTCAAACGACGAAACACAACGCAAACGTTGTTTCACGTCGGTATTCTGTAAGGCTGGTCATTCCATCCCAGCCGGCCCAGTAGTGCCGAAGCATGTGGCTTTCCCACAATTTTTATATAATCAAAATCAAAGAAGAACAGATGGACCGATTTTGCTAGACTTTTATTGGCAGGTAGCTGATGTAATAAAGAGTAACATTGCCTACTTTTAAGTTGGAAAAATGAAACACAAAAAAGTTAAGTTCTAAAATTCATATTCTACGCGGACAAAGTGGCCATGATGCGGAGCGAGGGGGACTGGGATGCCGTCTCCTCCTTTTGCGAAGCAGTCATTCTAGCTAAGGAGGAGGCGGGACGCGTGAGGCAGCGAAGCGCTGCCTCCTCGCAACCCAGTCATCGCGAAGGACACACCGGGCGTCGGGGATCGCGGGACGATCCCCGGCCACCGTAAGCGCGGGCCTGCGGACGGCAAGCATGGGTGGCTCCCCGTCCGACCAGAAACAGACCCGAGCGTACGCGGCGCGCCGTACTCAAAGAGCCATCAGACCACCACAGATGGGGCCCAATAGGGCCGATGCCGATTCGGAGTCGCGGAGAACCTAACGGGTAACCGGGGCTCCGGCACGACGCGCAGGAGAAGGAACGGGGTGGTTTTTAGTCAGTAAGAGTCTGACACTCCCTCCCGCCTCACCCAGGTTGGAGTAGTCATTCGATGGTTTTCCCCACATAAAAAAAAACGCGGACAAAGTCGCGAGCAACAGCCAGTATAAAAACGTTTAATGCAATAAGATATTATACAACTACCCATTAAATTATTTTGATAAGCATAAGGTACAATAAACTCCCACATAATATTATCTTAGGGAAAATCAGACTACAATTTTATAACCACGTTTTATGACACGCATTTTTATGGATACACTAAACATACATATAAAATGGTCTTAAATCTACGACTACCTTTAATTTGAAAAGTCTGCAACTTACAGTACATATTTACCATGAGTTGTGTTGCTCGTTCCAAAGAATAAGTTCCAAGAAAAACGAACAAATAACTCCCTCTATAGAGCTGCAAACAACCTCGGGTCGTTGGGGATCCAGCTGGAAGCAGGAGTTGGAACGGGGCGGTTTTTAGTCAGTAAGTGACAATAATTGTCTTGCCTGATCCAAGTCAAGACCTAAAGGAAAAGTCATTGGATTGTATTCCCACCTCAAAACGATGCGGCTCCACTAGCTAGCTCCATTCTTTTTCAATTTTTTTCACGCTACTTGACATGTACATCAGCTCCACCCAACTCAACGACATTGCACATTGTAGGAAACCGACCAGTGTTCTTGCCACCGCAAAAGAAATCTTCCTGAAAAGTACAACCAGTATTAATCCATAATCTATGGATTGATCTAAGTTTTTGACGGAAAATCATTAGCATCCTCATCAACACCCTATAAATCCCCATTGTTGAGCAGAGCCTCTTATCACACGGAGGACGTTTGAGCATTAATCACCACGCTTGCTCATTGCGATTTCAAACTTATAATAATTAGAAATTATAAGTCCAGTTTTCTTCACGATGTTTTCCTTTATCGTTTGTCAGTGGTGTCTAAATATTAGAAAGTACATATAACTCGGAAAAAGTCACATTGGTACTTGCCTTTGGTATGTTTCGAACACCTGCATGCATGAGGACGTCTTCACCTCCGGGCCACGACGACACGGAAAATACATACAACTAATGTCAAAAATCGACCTCGATTAATCCATAGATTTTAGACTACCGCGGTCGGTTATTCATTTCGGCCGTTAGCTGGCTAAAATACCCACATAAATTCTGTCGATTATTGACCTAATTTATTTTTACTGATATAATAAAATATTATCGTAGCACCGTTAGACTAATCCAGTGAAACGTTGTAACAAAACGTGAGAATAAGCATTTCTTAAATTTTCCCTTAGCAACCAAAAGATATCTTATAATCGACTATTAGTTCGAATGAAATTACCTGGGGTTCTGTATTATTATTAATTTCTGTTTTTATAATAACTATCGTGAGACATACTAAATCAACTAAAAAAAAACACCAACAGACACAATTTTTTTACAAAATGAAATGATGTTTATAATAACTTAATTAAAAATCTGAAATTACTGAGAAAAGCTCTACTAGTTTCGCACCGCAGACGGGTTCTTCCTCATGAGCAGCGTGCGCGGTCGCGGCGATGTCGCGCAGCCTACTCATTATTAATTTATACAATAAACCCCCTTAGAATCAATTTTATGTCATTAATTTTATTCAAAGGCTTCCTCATTTAAGTTTTTTTAAGGAATGAGCCAGTAAACGAGCAGATGGATCACCTGATAGTAAGTAATCGGCGCCGCCCATAGACAACCGGAACACCAAAGGAAAATTTTAAGTATCCAACTTTCAAGTTAGTCAAACAGACACACAAACAGACAGACAGTTGAGTACTATTAATATCCAGTGCCATTTTACCTTTGCAGTTTCGAACCCCAAAAATAATCTAATTTATCAGATAAAATGTGAATTTGTATATATATGTATATTGCAAACTATGATAGTATAGTTACATAACGGTATATCGGTTGAATAGATAAGAACTTGATAATGTGAAAATAGTTAAGTACCTAGTTTTGGTACCTAATTCATTCATGACTGCATTCACGAAGGCATCGGTTGACTCGAACATCGTGATTAAGTGTAAGTTTTCATTATTATAATAAACAGTGTAATGTTTAAAAACACCTTTCTATGCAAAAAAGCTAAATCTGATCGGGTCATCAACAGCTTATAGGTTGTATATATGAAGGTATAGGTATATGAAGGTTTGGAGCATTAATCACCACGCTTGCTCATTGCGGGTTGGCGATTTCAAACTTATAATTACAAAATTATAAGCATAGGTTTCCTCACGATGTTTTTTTGCTTCACCGTTTGTCAGTGGTGTCTAAAGAATCTTAGAAAGTACATATAACTCGGAAAATGTCACATGCATGAGAAACAGATGTTTTAAACCTCCGGGTACCACAACTCTGCAATCAATTTAATTTAAGTGTAACTTTTTTAATAAGAAAATTCATACATCAACGCAGCCGTGGAATCTCAGGCGTTGGTATTCGTTCGGAAAAGGAAGCAAGGAACTAAGAACCTATCCTTTATTACAGAAGTACTTAAGTTCAAAATGGTGAAACGTGGCAACGATGCGGTGCACTGGTACATGACAGAGGTGGGAGCTCGTGTCGTGGCGAAGACCGGGATCCCTTCAGACAGACATCACCTCGGGAAGCTGATGCTGCATAGCCTGCAAGACGATCCCGACTTTATTCTGCAGGTAATTAGACACAAAACAGCAAATATTTTCTTCTTTTACAAGTGCAATCAGAAAAAAGGTTAAGTCACTATTTTAATGTAAGCTGCTGATCTATTTGCGACTACTAATATGATGCAGTTGACAAAAATTTAATTTTTGTCTTTCAGTTTTTACGTGTAGGTAGAGATAATACAATAATAAAATACAACAATCTTTATGATGCTGTATTTTTTATCAAAAACGCAGTGCACTTAGAAACCAAGCATTCGTAGTAGTCATAATTTACGACTATTTTCACCGATTTGAACTATATTTGACTTGTTGTCCTTAAAGTTATTTTCTTTTTCGATCTCTTTGACTGGATTTAAGTGTTACATTGTTCTCGCACAATCCAAACAACAAAACTATGCAACTAGAGAATTGTATTGTGAACCTGATTGAAAAATCTATTGAGTTTCTTGCTCGTTCTTCTCAATAGGAATCTAAACCTTGGAATGAGCAAAAAGCTTCACTTTTAATTTTTTGTTGACGTTCAAAAGTGCCTTTTCTGTCTAATTGAAATAAATGATTTCGACTTTGACTTTGACTTAAAATTGAGTGGGTTTTGAGCATTTGGATAAAAAAGGACAAAATCAAAAACTTTTATTTACAGATCGATGGAGCGACTGGTGAATCAGAAACCTTCGGCTCAGCTTTAGACAGGAGCATCCGATGCGCTGTCTCTCTCACCAACATGGGGCTGAAGAAAGGCGACGTCATGGTGCTGATGGGACCAAATCACATAGATTACTGTATACCTCATACTGCTGGACTATTCCTTGGGATTATGGTAGCTTCTGTCGATGCCACTTTATGTGTTAGTGAGTACTTATGCTATGCTTTGCAAGAGTGTTAATTTTATAAGAATCTTCTCTTGATGATGAAACAGCAAAAATAGTAAAATCGATTTAATCGTTCACGCGTCATGCCAAACTAACTTAAGAATATATATCTCAGTTATAATTCTATAAAGACTATAAAGACTATAAAGACTATGTAGACTATGTAGAAATTAAGAATTTCTTAAATTTTCATTCATTTTGAATCAAGCAACAATTTGGTGGTGAAGACATTGAATCTAATTATAATCTTCCACATTCTCCTATTTCAGGTGAGCTTGAACAGTTATTTGAAACAAATCGTCCTAAAATCATTTTTGGTCAGAGCACAAAATTAGCACATATTAATGAAGCCCTATCCTTGTCTAAAGTAGATGCAAAAATTGTGACTTTCGACAACGATAGCGATAGTACATTGGCGCAACTGTTGGGTGATGCAGACGAGGCATCGGTGAAGAACTTTCAGTAAGGTTTTGAGTATTCATATAAAATTATGACCTTCTATGTATAAAAACCTGTAACAGAATCAAAGAAATAAATGTTGACTTATTTTTTTATGAGATAAGCTGGTAAACTAGCAGACGTATCATCTGATGGTGAGCAATCGGCGTCGCTCATAGACTCCAGAAACACCAGAGGCGTTGCAAGTGCGTTACTGGCGTTTTGGGTATAGTTTCAAAAAGTGATTTTTTTTTTAATTTTTCTTGATGAAAATGGAATGTAGCAATACTGTCAAACTCCCATTGTAATGAAACCAAATGACGCTAGCTAAACATGATCCTTTGTTTTTTAGTTCAGTTGTCGAAAGTGGGATTAGAGAACAAAAAAAATTGTGTGAATCTCTAAAAGCGTACATTATTCATTACAGACCAACAGACTTCGATCCCAGCAGCACAATAGCTTTCCTTACATCTACCAGTGGCACCACAGGGATCCCAAAGACGGCCATGATAACACATGAGAACTTGGCTATATCATTGCCTTACATCTGGTTAGTATAGATACAAATAGATATAGAAACGAAGATATTTTTTTTACTGTAAGCCCTCAGGTGTTGCCTGCAGTATTTCAAAGCCGATGCGACATGTGACCTTCAAACATTGAAGAGTGTAGTAGTTTTATAAATGGTGTGGGTGGCATTGATACTAAGTTCTAAAAAAACATTAACATATTATGAAAAACTGAAAGATGGAGCTACCTACTAAAAATACTTATATTTTTATTTTTTCAGGAAAACCATGAGCGATTTCCCATCACCGGTAAAGATAGCATTTGTAGTATCACCAGCGCAGTGGATCACAACTGGATTCAATTATATCATCGCTCCAGTGTTTAAGTTTACTAGACTACAAACATCAGCCCCCGTCACACCAGATCATTTCGGAGACTTAGTGGACAAATACAGGGTATTATATTTTCATTCCATGTACCCCAATTACAACAATGAAAAGAAAAAAAAATCACGAGGCCTTATTCAATGAAAGCAATTCATGAGCTGACCAGACGTAGTTAATTCAGCACGAAGTTCTATTTGTGCTATCACTCAAGCTCTTTAAAATTGACTGTCCAATAATTGGACACTAGCTAGCTCTAGACCTATGGAGGTATTTCACTGGGACACCATGGCGACGCAACCAGTCGCCACTATAAGCAAAATATGTACATATATACAGCTCTATTAGAAGTCGCTCACATGGTATCGACATGGTTATGCAACTAATCAGGCGAAGCCGAAGCTCGGACGATTAGAGGTCTATTTTGACACAGTCGCAGTGCAGTGAAGTACGCTGGTCTAGTTTAGTAGCTTACAAACACCACGAAAAGACGACTAGTTGTGCCGCCAGTGATACTATAATCCTATAAGATAAACATCAGCGCCATTTTATTTTATTATTTTATTGATCTGCTCAAACCAGATATTCGTCATTGGGTTACTAACAGGTATGTACATTGTAATAAATATATTATATGTTCGCTAGCCCGGTTACATTCTTTGCAATCCAGTTTTGATGAAGACGCTAGCTGAGCAAGCCAAGTGTGACTTCACCTGCTTCAAGCTCATGACTCTAGGAGGCAGCTTTGTACCACAGGAGCTGGTTGACAAAATGAAGGTTAGTCTATATTCTTAGGTATAGACAAAGCTCGAAGAAGCGGGTAGTGGTTTCTTTGAACAAATGCCCTAAATTTTACAGACGGTGATAATTGGCAACGGTTAAGGGCTAAAGTTAATAACCGATATTAATTTTAAATTTCTGGAATGATGGTTTTGAGCAAGTTCAGAGCATGATCCAAAAATTTTAATTGATGTCGGTTCTTAATTTGGTCGTAATGGGATACTCATTTTTGTTTTTTAAAAACGGATCCCCTCACTAGAATTTTCTCCTGTGTCGTGGCGGTTATAAACATACAATTTCACATACACATGACATTTGAAGACCCAGACCCGAAACAACAATTTGTGGATCACACAGACAGTTGTAGCTCTTAATTTTCTACTCTCTTTTGTAAATTTTCTTATCTTGTTTTTTTATTACAGAAACTGACTCAGTCTGAAAATGTGTTCGTAATGTATGGTATGAGTGAACTGAGTGGAACTGCTTTTTTCAACGACTGCACTGTTCCATCAGGCTCTTGCGGAAAACCAGCTGGTTCCTTTGACTGCAAAGTAAGTTGTTTTGGAATTATAACAAATATCCATTTCACCACCATACCACCAGACGAACGGCGGGGCGCCAAGCTTCCTCATGCGAACCGCTGAAGGAATGGATTTCCTTGCCAGAGGCTGTGTTTCCCGTCAAATATGACTTGGGTGTCTTCAAGTCCCGAGTGAACAGGTTGCTCATATGTAGGCGTGCTCCATCGTCGGCCACATCATTGCTTACCATCAGGCGAGATGGCGGTCAAACATCGACCTATAAAGTGTATAAAAAATCTGATCTTTTGGGCAAATATTAGACGTAGTAACCTCTTATTCCTCATACTGCCTTCCGTATTTTGGTGTTACAGTACTCCCAGTTCTTCCCAGCTTCTTTGTTAATCTTGGCCTATTATCCAACATGAACCTTTACTCTCGATTCATTAGATTTCGATCCATCTATCCAATGCCGACCTTTCTAAAAGCTATCTTTGGTAACCCATATAACTTATTACAATCAAATTTATTGTTTCAGTTAGTGGACCCTGAGACCAATGAAGAAGTGACTGAACCCCATGTGCCAGGAGAATTGTGGTTCAAGGGTCCTGCTGTATTTAAGGTAAGATTTTTATGCAATATGCACCTTGCTAGCATTGATTGGAATGTCTTTTTGATGTTATATGCCAAGTGCTTGATAATAAAAAAAAAAACTTATAAGTATAATTTTTTTACTATATTCCAGTATTAAATATAATCATAACTCTTAAAATATACATTCCAGGGATACCACAATAACCCAGAAGTGACAAGAGAGACATTCAGTGATGATGGCTGGTTCCGATGTGGGGATATTTTCTACAGAGATGAATCTTGGAACGTGTATTTTGTGGAACGATATAAGTCACTATTGAAGTATAATAATCATCAGGTATGTACTACTGAGGTGCCATCTGTCGGTTATAAAAAAAACAAATTTCAAAAAAGATAATAGTTATACAAAAAAATTGCATGCAGGTATCTCCGTTAGAAGTCGAAATGATAATAATGAAGCACCCTGGGGTATCCCAAGTGGCAGTAACAGGTATACCAGACAGGGAGAGCGGGGACCTGGTGGTGGCGTGTGTTGTACCCAAGCCTGGCTGCAACCCTACAGCACAGGAGATCAAAGACCTGGTCAAAGGTAGAATTTAGATTTACTAATGATATGTTAAAATATCTCTTAAGGTTCCCAATTTACGTGATCCCATTTTTTTTGCTTTGCACTTTTAATCAGTTGTGTTTATCCCTGTAGCTCTCGCTCCTCGAAGAAAGAAAAATGTGACCATTTGTGAATTTTTTACAGAAAACCTGACGGAGACAAAACATTTAAGGGGAGGAGTGATCTTCATAAAGAGTTTACCCATCACCAGCGCATCCAAGATTAACAGACAGAAGCTGAAGGAACTGGCACTCACAATGCCAAGAGAATAAAACTGTAATTTGTAATGTCGCCTTCAACTGACCGACCGTCGACAGGACGAGGCCATTGTTCAGTAGTGGAGGTTTTGTGGCTAACTTAATTATGATGATGAATATGATGAAGGTCCAATTACCTCCCTCCACAATGTCCCCAATACCCGCATCCCCAACAATCCTCAAATTAATCCACAAAAAAGCCCGGTAAATCACTTGTAACCCCTCTGGTGTTTCGGGTGTCAGGTCATCCGTCACGTCATTTTCCCATGATCAAAAACAGTTTTATTTTCATAAAAGTGTACCTAATTGTAAATACTGTCTTAATATTGTAAATAAATAAATATAGATAAGTCAACCATTATTTCTAACTAAGGTTCATTTTTAAAGTGTACCTATTTCAATAAAACCTATAATACAGTCCAGCTACATTAAGGACTCCGTTTCTACGCAATGCGGTAGAAAACCCGAAGTGGTGTTTCACATTGTTGTAAAATGATAAATAACACATATAACATCACGCCTTTTATCTCCGAAGTGGTAGAGGTGCATGGTTGGTACATTACGGCACTTAATGCCACTGTACAATGTAACACCCTCTTTCCACTATTTATGTTATGAGTCCCTTGTAATAGGGGGTGAGCTATATACAGAGCATAATACCAGGCTCTGTAGTACTACTGAGATTTTGCTCTTGCCCGGCAGTCGTGCTTGCGACCACTCGACCAACGAGGCAACGATGAATAGTCCACATTAATCTGTATAGCTCCCTACGTGGTGGAACCGCCTCCATCACGCAATTGCTATGTAATGAAGTGAGAGCGAGAACAATCAAGTTTGAGGTCTAAGGCCTCAGCCTCGAATTTTTCGGGCAGCGGGACAGTGGGGCTGTGGGCGGCGGCAACAGCGGCGCGAGGGTGACAGGATCATATGCGTAAAATCAAATGGACCGATTCTCGAAAACACAGCGGGCGGCGGGCAACGAGCGGTGCACTCCAGTCAAGCGATGCCCGCCGCGCCCCTGCCGCCCCGATGCCAGCAAAATTTGAGCCTGAGGTCTAAAAAGTATTTGTATTGGACTTAACAAAATAAATTGTTGACTTTAAAAAGTGAAGATAACTAGTCTTTCAAAATTCTAAATGTCACTATTTATGAAGTAAACATGTAAACATGTTTAAAATTCATAGTTTTAGTTTTAATTTTGATAAAATTATATGATTTATGAATATTTGTAAATTAACAAGTCAATAGTTGCCTATAACGTATGTATTAGGTGAGTGATATAATATTTAACTCTATGTAGTTTCTGCCCGCGGCTTCGTCCGCGTTTCCTTGGAGTAAAAAGCCTATGTGTTATCCGCTGAGGGCTTAACGGGTTGCCGGGGCTCTGGCTCGAAGTGCAGGAGTAGGAACGGGGTGGTTTTTAGTCAGTAAGAGTCTGACACTCCCTCCCGCCTCACCCAGGCGGGAGAAGTCATTGGATGATTTTCCAGATCATAATCTATCCCTATTCCAAATTTCAACACGACCCCTTCAGCCGAAAACGGCTTTGTTAAAACATACAAACACACAAACCTACACACTTTTGCATCATATTTGTAAGAGAAATAAGAAGTAAGATTAGTAACACTTTGTTAATAATGCTGGAAGGCACTGGGGGAGGGGCACAGCAGGGGTTCAGTTCTTTTCGATCACTTTGACTAGATTTTAGTGTTACATTGTTCTCGCACAATCCAAACAGCAAACTATATAACTAGAGAATTGTATTGTGAACCTGATTGAAAAAGAGTAACCTATGAAGTTTCTTGCTCGTTCTTCTCCATAGGAATCTACACCTTGGAATGAGCAAATAGCTTCACTTTTAATTTTATTGTTGACATTCAAGAGTGCCTTTCTGGTCTAATTGAAATTTTTGACTTTGACTTTGACTCTGTAGTTTTGGGGTTCGGAACAACAAAAATAATGTAAATTCTCAAGTAAAATGCAACTTCCTTTGTATTTAGATATAATCATATTGCAGACTATGTATAGTTACATATCAGGTTAACAGATATAAGTTGATAATATAAATATAGTTGAGTACCTATTTTTAGTACCTAATTCATTAATGGCTGCATTCACGAAGGCATCGGTTGACTCGAACATCTTGTTTTAAATTGTAAGTTTTTAATAATATTTGTATCTATAGGAGCCATGTCATGTCGTCTTCTCAAGCAACCATTCAATATCCATCTGATAAAACTAGTCGTTAAATGTTGCCAAGTGCAAAACTCTGAACTGGCTGTATTATTTTGAAAATTAATTTTAATTAAAAAATACAATTATGAAAACTGCCTCGTTGGCCGAGTGGTCGCAGGGGCGACTGCTGGGCAAGGGGTCGCGGATTTGATAACTGGGTTTTTAAAAAAAATCTCAGTAGTAGCACGGAGTCTGGAATTGTGCCTGGTAGGTATATGGCAAAAGGCTCACCCCCTATTATATGGGACTCATAACATAAATAGCGAAAAGTGGGTATTACATTGTACAGTGGCATAATATGCACCTCTGCCTACCCCTTCAGGGATAAAAGGCGTATGTTATGTTATGTTAAGTACACAGTACACAGCATAGGAGTAAATTACTGCTCAATTAAATGGATTTTATTTTAAGTTTTTTTTTAAAACGTAAACGTAGCGTTGAGTCTCAAACGTAGGTATTCGGAAAAGGAAGCAAGGAACTAAGGAACTATCCTTTATTACAGAAGTACTAAAGTTCAAAATGGTGAAACGTGGCAACGATGCGGTGCACTGGTACATGACAGAGGTGGGAGCTCGAGTGGTGGCGAAGACCGGGATCCCTTCAGACAGACATCACCTCGGGAAGCTGATGCTGCATAGCCTGCAAGACGATCCCGACTTTATTCTACAGGTAATAAAACAGAAAACTTCATTTGATACCAAGTGCAATCAGACAAGAAGGGAATGGGAATAATGCACGTGATGTAATCACCTAATTCAGTTTTATTATCATGAGGAGATAATGTATTAAAATAAAAATTATTTATCTCATTGCATTATTATCAAAAATGCAATTACTTGCACGTAGTAACTAAGCATTCGTGGTCGGATTTTATTAGTCGTATTTATGATTATCTTTATGAATATTTTTTAGTTGTCAAGAGTAAAAATGCAGTTGATAATGATTGTAGTATATTGTTACAATCGTTCGGTCATAAAAACATGGGGTGGCAAGAGATTAACGAAAGCGATGAATTTAACAGTAGGACTGATGAGTCAGTAAAATGCACTCTAAATTGTAGTAGTGAGTAAGTTCATAATAGTACAATATCACGAATTAAAAGGGATCAAATCAGGGACAGTTGCTTTCAACTCGCCTAATAACAAGTAATTAGGGGAGGCCTATGTTCAACAGTGGACGTCTTGTAGCTGATATGATGATGATGATGATGATGACACCAGACCTCAATCGCAAACGTTATTTTTGATGATCCTACATTAATATGACTTAGCCTAAGTATCATAAATCAGAAAATAAAAACAGATCGATGGAGCGACGGGAGAGTCAGAAACCTTCGGCTCAGCTTTAGACAGGAGCATCAGATGTGCTGTCTCTCTCACCAACATGGGGCTGAAAAAAGGCGACGTCATGGTGCTGATGGGACCAAACCACATAGATTACTGTATACCTCATACTGCTGGACTATTTCTTGGACTTAAAGTAGCTTCTATCGATGCTACATTATGTGTCAGTAAGTATTTTAATACAATCAAATTGAAATCGACCTTACCCCGATGTTTAAAAAGTGTAAATTTTTTTTGCCAAAACTCGCGGAAGTTCCACCCTTTCAAAGTTAAACGAGATGGAATAATCCAAGAAAGAGACGAAAGTGGAAGACTTATAACGTGTTTGTATGATTTGTTTTATTTTCTGGCTCCATTCGACACACGATGTTTAATGTTTATTGTGAGCCTATGATATTTTACCTGGAACTATAAGGGAGACCTTGTTATCTACTCATTACCTATTGTTGAAGTAATGACTATAATAGTTTTGGTTTGTCAGATCTTTTAGCGTTCTGGCTAAAGCTATCTTCATCATTATGGCCACTGCCATACATAGTTTTAAGTCATTGCCTAACGTCAAACCAGATAAGTTTTGATTTACTACCATATTTTCTCTATTTTTCAATTTCAGACGAACTAGAGCAATTATTTGAAACTAATCGGCCGAAGATTATTTTTGCTCAGACCAAAAAATTAAGAGATATAAATGAAGCACTGTCTTCGTCTAAAGTCGATGCGAAAATTGTGACTTTTGACAGTTATAGTGAACGCACATTGGCTCAACTTTTGGATAACGCAGATGAAGTGTCAGTAAAGAAATTTCAGTAAGTGTGTTTTAATGTTTTTTTATGGAATAGGTGGCAAATGCACAGATGGCGCATCTGATGGTAAGCGATTAACACCGCCCATGGACACCCAAACCACTAGAAGATTCACAAGTGCGTTGTCGGCCGTTTAAAAAGGAATGCGCTCATTTTTTGGAGGTCTGAAGGTCGTATCAGTTCGGTTAATACCGCCACCGATATTCCTCAGATTAGTTGTGCGACGCGGAATCATACAAAAAAAATATTTCTCTTCTTTGGTAAATAACATGATGTATGCTATCTAAAAAGTTTATATTTTTCATTACAGACCAACTGACTTGGATCCCAGCAGCACAATAGCTTTCCTTACATCTACCAGCGGCACAACAGGGATTCCAAAGACGGCCATGATAACACACGAGAACTTAGCTATATCACTGCCTTACATCTGGTAAAAGTACTTAAATAATAAGTTCAAACTACTGGTAACAAGTGAGCAGGCTACGAATAATTTCATAAGTATTCAGTAAATGATGGAGACTTAGAATTTGCTCCAAACCTCGTTGTTTCCCAAGAGAAACCCATCAACTAATAACAAAGTCAGTCAATATACTAGACTATGATTCTAAGTGCATCAAACACTTTTTTAAAAAGTGCATCAGAATTGGTTCACACTTGAATCATATATCGTATATCGTAATATTGAGATAATCGAGGACAACTATATAAATAGGTCGAATTGAGGACCTCCTTCTTTTTGACGCCGTTTAAAATGAGAAAATGTCCTGAACACATTAAACGCCATGGGGGTCACCGGTGACCGACGTTAGCGGAGGATTTACCTTCAACAGTTTTTTATTGGCAGTCAAAACCTTAAACACAATATTCGCATTTTAGGAAAACTATGAGCAAATTCCCATCGCCGGTGAAGATATCGTTCGTGGTGTCACCAGCGCAGTGGATCACAACTGGATTCAACTACCTCTTCTCTCCAGTCCTCAAGTTTACTAGACTGCAGACATCAGCACCAGTCACTCCAGAACATTTTGCAGATCTAGTCGATAAATACAGGGTATGATTATCTATATAAAAAAATGAATTGTCATTCGTTTGTTTCGCTAAAACTCGAGAACGGCTGAACCGATTTGGATAATATTGGTCTTGAAAATTTTTGTTATAATAAAATTTTTAGGCGGTACGAAGCTTGCCGGGTCAACCATTCTTATTAAAAATTCAACAAAAATAGATATGATTTTCTTTTTTGGTGTATTCCGAATTAATTTTACACTTTTGTTGTCAAAAAAGAAAATAAGAGTCAATCACTCCTACCAACTTATAGTATATGCTTGAAAGTAAATCTTATACTATTATATAAAGCGGAAGAGTTTGTTTTTTTGTTTGTTTGTTTGTTTGAACGCGCTAATCTCCGTAACTACAAGTCTGATTTGAATAATTCTTTTTGTGTCGGATAGCGAATTTGTCGAGGATGGCTATAGGCTATAAAACATCACGCTACGACTAATAGGAACTGAGCAGAGTGTGTGAAACCGCGCGGAAGTAGTAATCCTAACTAATATTATAAATGCGAAAGTAACTCTGTCTGTCTGTCTGTCTGCTACTCTTTCACGCCAAAACTACTGAACGGATTTGAATGAAATTTGGTATACAGATATTCTAGACCCCGAGATAAAACATAGGCTACTTTTTATCGCGAAAAAGGGGTTGTAAGGGGTTAAAAAGGGGGGGGGGAAGTTGTATGGGATTTCATAATTTTTAAAGATAAAACCATGAAACTTTATATTTAAGCACTTGATAAAAAATAAGAAAACATTTGTTCTAGCGTTTTTGAAATTTCGACTCACTATGTCGATTTTTAAGAATAATTATTACGATTTATCTGAAAACCTGAAAACGGATATCTGACAGGTAACATTACTATGGCAACCAACCTGATGATTTGTAATTGTTATGGCGTCCTACTTCCATAATATATTTTGGCATCAACGTATAAAAATAAAGTTCTGTGAGTTTTCAAGGAATAATATTAGTATTCAGCTGCATCAGGGATCAGGGATTTTAAAGACAAAATACGAATTCAATTGACTGAATACAATTTATTCATAGACTAGCCTCTGTCTGCGGCTTCTCTCGCGTTCTTTTAATGGGGTAAGGGAAGGATTTACAATAAAAAAATGAAATGATGCACGATTCTATGCTGGTCACAAATAACCCGCATACCAATTGTTAGCTTTCCACATTGAAAATTGCAAAATACCCCATACAAATTTTCACCTCTGTTTCACGGAAGTGGAAGGGGGTTAGAAAAAGACAAAAAGTAGCCTATGATACTCTCCATCTTTTCAACTATCTCAAATCAAAAACCTTCCTGACTCCGTTCTGTCGTGAAATACGGACAAACAAACAAACAAGCACATACAAATTTATATTATTAGTATACATTTCTTAAATCATCTGACATTTGTGTGACAAGTGAGTTTACAAAGTCAATGTGTCATAGATTTTTTTTATACTATGGTATTAATATTAAGGTATGCAAAGAGGTTGACAGCAGTCTAAGGAGATAAAACCACGAATAAAATATTTTCAGTTTACTTGAATTCGTATTTTTTATATGTATATCAAAAAAACTAGCTAAATGCACATAGCTAAAAAATAATATTAGTCCTTTTCATTTTAGACTGTCAAGGCCAAATTCACTATGATAGTTAGCTGTTTGTTTATGGCATAAGCCGGTAAACGAGCAGACAAATAACCTGATGGTAAGCAATCTGCGCCGCCCATGGACACCTGTAACACCAGAAGTGCTAGAAGTGCGTTACCGGTCTTTTGGGAATTGGTAATTTGAGGATTGTCAGGGATTGGGGGGGGCTGGGGGAGGGGTAATTGGGCCTCCGGTAACCTCACTTACACAGCGAAACACTCCTTTAGGTAACCGAGGGCTGGGCTCGCTGTCATTGCAGCGGAAAGTCCCCTCTTTAAAAGTGGCTTTAGAGAGGCCATCAATGCAAGGACCGCCCGGAGAACACGGTGGAGCATACCGTGGCGGTGTACCTTGCACGGGCTGAGCACCGCCGTGTTCTCAGGGATGTAGGAAACGGTGACCTCTCGCGTTCGGCTTTGGTTCAGACCATGGAGCGAGGGGGATTGGGATGCAGTCGCATCCTTCTGCGAAGCAGTTATGCTTGCCAAGGAGAAAGCGGAGCGCGTGAGGGAATGAACTTCCTCACGCCCCAGCCGTCGCGGGAGACACTCTGGGCGTCGGAGATCGGCCGGCCACCGGCCACCGTAAGTGCGGGTCTGTAGACGAAGAGCAAGGGTAGCTCGCCACCCGACCAGAACCAGTCCCGTGCATACGGCGCGCGCCTTACAGAGCCATGACACCATCATAGATGGAGCCCAGTAAGGCTGATGCTCGATACGGTGCCGCGGGAGGCCTAACGAGTTGACGGGGCTCCGGCTCGACGAGCAGGAGTAGGAACGGAGTGGATTTTAGTCTGTAAGAATCTGTCACTCCCTCTCACCTAACCCAAGGCGAGAGAAGTGATTGGATGATTTTCCGACCTCAAAAAAAATCTCCTTTAGGTAATGACAACCCGATGTGTGAAAAACTACCAAAAAAACTCCTTATATTATTGGTATTGATTACGCTGTGGAAATTATGGACAATAGAGCCAAGGGATGTATTAAGTCATATAGAGGACATTAATATCAACATTAAAGTACATGTATCATATGTAACTAACCTAATATCAGAATACCTATTTTTTCATTTAAATGTTTGCGATAGTAACGCACGTCGCACCGGTACATATCAGGTCACATTATAGGAGAGAGGAAATCCCAAAATGACGGAAACTATGCGCTAAAAAACCAGGACCAAGGACGTTGAAATAAAGAGGGGCTCTTACCTTTTAAACTATTGAACCTATTTGGTGAAATTCGGTGCAGCGATAGTTTGAGACCCGGAAAAGGACATCTAAAAGTTTTTAACCCGAAAAACCCACGAAACCGGGAACTGTGCTGTAAAATCACTATATCTATTTGATTGAAATGCGATACAACATTGATTTGCAAACATAGAATAGTGAAACCTCACGAGACGGGTACTGTACGGGTAAAACCTCTATGGGATTGTTTATTTTAGAAACCACGAAAATTAATTCTTTTCTCAATAAATATAACCTAGGTACTGAATCGATTGTGATGATATTTGTTCCAGTTGTACAGCCATAGAATATACCTTGACAAAGACTAATTTAAAAAACCCAATTTATACAGAAGTCGTTATTTTACGCGGACGAAGTCGCGGGTAACAGCTAGTATATAAAATAAAAGAAAAGACGGGTTCGTAGTTCGTATACGCGTGTCAAATAAAATTAAAGGAAAATAAAAGAAGAAAATGGTTTGGTTCTGACCTTAGATAAGTTAGGATAGAGGCATAAAGAATTTAACATGATTCATTTTTAAAAACCCGATATCAACCCCTCCGCTTTTGAATTCGGTTAATTAATAATAAAACCTTCTCCTGAGTTTTCCAAAACTCCAAGATTTTTCTGAAAACCGCATCCGTTCAACCACATAACATCACGCCTTTTATCCCCGAAGGGATAGGCTAGAGTACTGTACACTGTAACACTATTTATGTTTTTTACTTTTCACTATTTATGTTATGAGTCCCATGTAATAGGGAGTGAACCTATTGCCATATACCGGGCACAATTCCAGAATCCGTGCCATTACTGAGAATTTTTTTAAACCCAGTAATACTTTGCCCGACCCGAGAATCGAAGCCGAGACCCCTTGCCCGGCAGTCGCACTTGCTACCACTAGGCCAACGAGGCAGTCAGTCAACGAGGCGGTTCCACCAATTGCATGATAACCAGGCACAAACGTAATAAGAACCACCTTTTTTGAAGGGTAATTTTTTTTAGTTTTTTTTTAAAAAACGTTGCCCCACACTAGGATTTTCTCCTGTGTCGTGGGTGCGTTTACAAACATACAAGTTCACATACACATGACACCCAGACCTGGAACAACAATTTGTGGATCACACAAAGTGTTGTTCTGTGCGGGAATCGAACCCGCGACACGTGGCACGGCAGCCGGTTGCCCAGCCACCGCACCAACCGTGCAGTCAATCAAAAATTAAAAATCATTTTTTACAGCCTAACTATATTCTTTGCAACCCAGTGCTGATGAGGACATTAGCTGAGCGAGCCAACTGCGACTTCACCTGCTTTGAACAAATGACTTTAGCGGGCAGCTATGTAACACCAGAGCTGGTTGAGAAAATGAAGGTTGGTGGTGTCTTAGATCCTTAACTGAAACTTTAAGTAATCACTGTGATTATATGGTGGGTCAGTCGGTTAAAAGTTGGGGTGGCCTGGAGGCCTGTTGCGCAAAGCCTGCACTGCCTCTTTTCACACGGAGAAGGTTTGAGCATTAATCATCACGCTTGCTCAATGCGGGTTGGCGATTACAAACTTATAATTAGAAATTATAAGCCCAGGTTTCCTCAGGATGTTTTCCTTCACCCTTTGTCAGTGGTGTATAGATAATCTCAGTACATATAACTCGGAAAAAGTCACATTGGTACTTGCCGTTAGCAGGTTTCGAACCTGTCCCCTCATGCATGAGAAGCGGGCGTCTTAAACCTCGGGGCCACCACAATACGCGGACTTATCGAATGCTAGTTCCGCGGATTTGCACTATCCCCGACATTAGCAGGTTGGTCGTAATGTGCAAATTGTTTAACCATTCCAAATTCTCCAATCCTACTTTGATGTAAGAAGTGACTTTCTAAGGCATTACACACACTTACACTTCTACACCAATACGGATGATGACAGGGTATGAAAGTTAAAAATCTAAAAAGTCCGTAAGTTAGGTAATAAAAAAATATTAGACACATATTTTTTAATTTTGTTGTATAACAAAATGATACTTAGATATGACGAATCAAATTTAGGAGTGGGGGCTAAAACGTCATTTCTACGTTTAAAATGTACATAGAAGTGACGTCACTTGACATTTCAAATCAATATATCGTCGAAAGTATGCGTTTCTGTAAAAAAGTAAAAAATACGTGTCTAATGTTTTAAAATAATCTACCAGACGGACATTAAAATAAAAATTACTCATCTACCCTATTCAACTATGTTTGTAAGGACTTTTCTCATTACAGAAGATGACTCAATCTGAAGATATTTTCGTACATTACGGTATGAGTGAACTCAGTGGTACTGCTTTTGTCCACGACTGTCCAGCACCACCAGGATCTTGTGGAAGACCAGCTGGTTCCTTTGACTGCAAAGTAAGTTACCATAATTAGAAATTCAAATAGAATAAAGAAGAATTACTTTATGAACTGTTAAAAACGTTAGTAGTATAAATATAAAAAAATGAATCAATTGAGTACTTGCCAACTAGTCAAATTCAATTCCTTTTTTCGAACTGTCAAAAACGACAGTTTTCTATGAATTTTGTACGAGATTGTGTATTGTGACTTCACGTGTTTTTAGCGTCAAACGGCATACTTATTTGTTAAAAGTTTGCTGTAAAAATACTAAAATTAAGTTAGTTATAAAATCAATTAATGAAAGTGTGATTATTTTTTTACATTTCATTGTATTGAACAGTCGAAATAATTTATTTTTGATAAAGGCAAGTACCCAATTTCGTTTATTGAAATTAAGACAATCTAATTATTTTTCATAGTATGCAACTCGTCTAAATATTTATTTTGGATTATATCTATCCAAAGGTCTAATAGAAAGAGTGATAAGACCGCCTTTGTGCCCATTATTTTTTTTACTATTAATATATGTTATTTTTTCTGTATGTTCTATATTATTAATGGTGTACAATAAGGATTATTCTATTGTAATATACTATTTCAGTTACTGAACTGCCTCATTGGCCGAGTGGTCGCAAGTGCGACTGCCGGGCAAGGGGTCTCGGGTTCGATTCCCGGATCGGGCAAAGTATTACTTTAAAAAAAAATCTCAGTAGTAGCACGGAGTCTGGAAAAACGTGCCCGGTATATGGCAATAGGCTCACCCCCTATTACATGGGACTCATAACATAAATAGTGAAAAGTGGGTGTTACATTGTACAGTGGCATTAAGTGCCGAAATGTGCACCTCTGCCTACCCCTTCGGGGATAAAAAGGCGTGATGTTATGTTATGTTATGTGTTATGTTATTTCAGTTAGTGGATCCAGAGACACATAAAGAAGTGACTGAACCTCACGTACCAGGAGAATTATGGTTCAAGGGTCCTGCTGTATTTAAAGTAAGTTTTTTTTATCTACAAACAATACGTCGTTTACAATATGAAAAACTAAAATGCTAACCAGGAATATTTTTAACCTACTTAAAAAAGAGGTTCTCAGTTCACTCAGTTTCAGATATGTGTTTGTGGCACTTAGGAGAAGGCTTTAGTATATTAATTAACACCTTGAACGCCATGGGGACAAGGTATGGGCCACGATAGCGGAGGATTTACCTTTAACAGTTTTCTGTCGGCAATCAAACTGTTAATTAATTTCAAAAAAGACGGGGTTGTAGTCGGTGTTTTTAAACGTAGTTCATAAAAGAATTCATTATCATCATCATTAACAGCCCATAAATGCCCACTGCTGAGCAAAGCCTCTTCTCACACGTAGAAGTTATGAGCATTAATCACCACGCTTGCTCAATGCGAGTTGGCGATTACAAACTTATAATTAGAAATTATAACCCCAGGTTTCCTCACGATGTTTTCCTTCACCGTTTGTCAGTGGTGTCTAGATAATCTTAGAAAGTACATATAACTCTGAAAATGTCACATTGGTACTTGCCGTTGGTAGGTTTCGAGCCCGTACCCTCATGCATGAGAAGCAGGCGTCTTAAACCTCCGGGCCACAACTACATTTTATACTACAATTACGTATGTAGTTTTTATTGTGGAATTCGACCATATTTTTGTCAGCTTTTATGACGCAACGTGGATAGTTACCCATAGGCTTGTATATATTGTATATTCCCTGATAAAAAAATGCTTCGGGCGTATTTGACCAGTTTGATTTGTTGGGCTAGATAATTCATACAAACCATTTTAAGTATTTATACAACTGTGTAATTTTTATATATTCCAGGGATACCACAATGGGGTGCGGTGCCAATGGGGTGCGGTGCCAGAAGACCTCCCCGTGGTGCACCCTGGGTACAGGTGATAGTTTCCCTAACGGGAGTGATAGGGTTGGAGTGGCTATTGCCTGTAGCTAACTTCTGGACGGGGCGGACGAACCCAGGATGGGTTCTGGAGGCGGCGGGCTGTGTGCTGATATATAGCCTGTGCTTCCGAGGGGATGTTTTTCCGCCCGTCTCTCTGAACTTAGCAGAGAACGTGGCGGAGAGGCAAGGGCGGTGCTCGTTGCGCACTCACCCTGCCAACGAGCAGCATCGGGGCACATGATTCCTCGACTGCAACCGTCGAAATCGTAACCCGAGAAGAGATCATGGATGTCTCATGACTCAGAACGGGACGAGGGTCTTGGCTTGGTTGCCCGGACCGCGAGGAAGATAACCTCTATAAAAAATTCCTCCAATACCAAGTTCTGGTGCGCGGCGAGGGTATGCATGGCTGAGGAGTAGTGTCAGTCGTGAGCGCACCCCCAGCTAGAGCACCGGTGGACCCTCTAGTTGGGAAACAAATATACACTTACCCAGGTACAGGGGGCACTGCCTGGGCGGACCGTTTATTTCCCCCATACTCGTGGGAATTGTATGGAGTCTAATAATAAAAATAAAAATAAAACACCGGAGGAGGAGAGGGCAAGCGAGCTTAGTTCGCTTGCTGTTGGCGGGGAGAGCCAGGGTGGCTCTGGAACCCGTGGGGAAGCGTTGGAGTCGTCCAGCAAATCCCTCACACGGGCATTAAGTCGGAGGATGTCGGAAGCAGAGTCTGACTACTCTTCCGCATCTGGCGCTTACTCATTGCGTAGCTTGAGTTCACAGCGCCAAAAAAAGGGGACGTTTAAACGTCCCAGGTTGAAGGAGGGCCGGGATCCGTCCTCCAACGAGCAGGAGGCTCCAGCCCCTAAGATCCCTACGGCTGCGCGGGGTAGGGGTCGAAGAAAGGGCTGCGAGAGGCCGATGGCCGCTACTCGGGCCGAGTCAGCTGAAGCTGACTCATCAGAATCTGGCGGCGAGGGCTCGGTAGGCGACCTTGGTGCCATAAATGGTGAACTTTCCAAGGTGGTCAAAGAAACACTCCGGACGGTGGCTGGGCAGAAGTCCGAGAAGGGCCGAAACGGAGTGTTAAGGCAAGCGAAGGCAGCCATTATGAAAGCAGCTCGACAGTGTGGGCTGCCTTCAGCGGCAGGGCAGCAGATGGCCGCCTTGCAAAAAGAGCTGGGGGAGATGCGCCGAGAAATGATCCGGCTGACAGCCTCCAATGCGGCTATGGAGGCCGAGCTTCGATCAGCCAAGGCCGAGCTCGCCGCTGCTCGTGAGGGTCGACCCCGAGCCTCGCAGCCAGTGGAGGCCGACATAATCGGCCTGGTGCGGCGGGAGATGGCTGCGTTCCAGCAGCGTTTTGACGTGCTGGAGAGCAGGATCCTCCGCCCCCCACTCGCAGGGAGTCAAGCAGCACCGCGCACATTTGCGGCTGCGGCAGCTATGCCGACTACTCCTGGTCGGTCCAGCCGCGGTGTCCGGGCCCAACCGCCGGCGGCTTCGCCGGCGCAGGCTCCAGCTGAACCGGTGGTGAGGGCGTCAACAGTTCGTAGGCGAGGGAGCGCCGTGGCTGGGCCGTCTACTGCCCCAGCTGTGGAGCCTACCCGAACTTCGGGTGTCCCTGCCAGCGACGGCGGATGGCAGGTGGTCGGAGAGGCGAGGAGGGTCGCCAAGCAAGGGCGAAAGCGCCGAAAAAAGGAGCAGCGGCAGAGGCAGCGGCAGCGGCGCAAGGAAAAGCGCGCTGCGGCAATGCTTGTCGCCCCTAAAACCGCGGCTGTAGTGATAACTCTACAGCCGGACGCGGTCAAAAGAGGCGTGACATATGGCGACATCCTCGCCAAACTGAAGCGGGCGGTAACTCCCGCGGAGTACGGGGCCCCTAACGGGTTCTCTTTGAAAGTGACGGCGACTGGAGCCCGTTTACTAGAGGTCCCCGGCGCGACCAGCGGTCCAACCGCTGACGCTCTAGCCGAAAGGCTCAGAGTGTGCCTTGGTGCAGACGAGGCTCGCGTGTCAAGGCCAACCAAGTGCCTGGAGTTACGTATAATGGGCCTGGACGACTCCGTGACGGAGGAGGAGGTCGTGGCCGCGGTGGCCAGGACGGGTGAGTGTCCTGCCGAGCAAGTTAAGGCCGGCACCATCCGTGCAGATAATTCGGGGTTGCGAACGGTTGTAGTGAGCTGCCCCGTCTCAGCGGCCAAGAAAATAAAGGAGGGTCGAAGGCTCCTGGTAGGCTGGGTCTCGGCGCAGGTCAAACTGCTCGAGGTCCGACCTATAAGGTGCTACCGCTGCCACGTAGGTGACCACGTGAGCGCTAGGTGCACCTCGGAGGTTGACCGCAGTGACTGCTGCTTCCGTTGCGGTCAGCCCGGTCACAGAGCCGGCTCGTGCTCTGCCCCGCTGCACTGTCACGCATGTGCGGCGGTTGGTAAGCCGGCCAATCACCGGGTCGGGAGCAAGGCCTGCTCCCCTCCTGCCAAATCCAGGGGCAAGAGTAGGCCCTCCGCTGCCCCGTCAGTCCCGCCGCCGCCGCTGCAGTCGCCACTGCTACCGTCGCCGCGGCCACCACTGGCTGTAATGCCGTCAGGGAAGAGGCTGGGATGGATTGCCAATAATAGCTCCATTCCGCCTCCTTCAGGCGAACATCAACCACTGCGCCGCCGCTCAGGATCTCCTGCTTCAGAGCATGGCGCAGTGGTCAATAAATGTCGCTGTGGTCTCCGAGCCGTATTTTGTCCCGCCCAGGGATCACTGGGTGGCAGACTTGGACGGCTCGGTGACCATCATCTCGTCAGCCGCCGCCGGAACCCCGACTCTCGAGGCCGTTCAGAGAGGCCGGGGTTGTGTCGCAGCACGGTTCGGAGAGATCGCTGTGGTGGGCGTGTATTTCTCTCCGAACCGAACTCTCGCCGAGTTCCACAACTCCCTGAGGGAGTTGGTCGCCGTCGTTGTCGGGTTCCGTTCCCTCCCCGTGCTCGTCCTCGGGGACTTCAATGCCAAGAACTTGGCTTGGGGTTCCCGGTTTACTGACGTTCGGGGTAGGATGGTGGAAGACTGGGCCCTTGAGGCAGGCCTAGTCGTCCTGAACCGGGGTTCTGTCCCCACGTGCGTGCGGATGCAGGGCGAGTCGGTGGTGGACATTTCGTTCGCTAGCCCTGCTCTGTCACCGCGTGTTGTTGACTGGCGCGTCATGGAGGAGGTGGAAACGTACTCCGACCACCGGTATATCCGGTTTAACGTCTCCACCGAGTCCGCGGACCCGCTGGTCAGACAGGCCCCATGTGGCCCGCGTTGGGCGCTGAGACAGCTGGACCGGGAGCTATTCCTTGAAGCCGCAATCGTGCAGGCCTGGGTGATACCACCGGACAGGCCTGCCGACATCGATGAGGAGGCGAGGTGGCTCCAGGACGCCATGTCCAGAATCTGTGACGTGGCGATGCCCCGGGTCCGGCCAGGTCAGCGCAAGCGCCAGACGTACTGGTGGTCGCAAGAGCTGGCTGCTCTACGCAGTGCATGCACTGCTGCGCGACGCCGGTACACCAGGCACCGCAGGCTTCGCATCCGTCCTCAGGACGCAGAGGTCAGAGAGGCGGAGTTGTACGAGGGGTACAAGGCGGCGAAGGCCGCCCTGAAAGCGGAGATACGGCGGGCCAAAGAGAATGCCCTCCAGGAGTTCTTGGAGACTCTGAACAGAGACCCGTGGGGACGCCCCTATCGGATGGTGCGGGATAAGCTCCGCACATGGGCTCCCCCGCTGACTCAGAGTCTCCGGCCAGAGGTAGTGGAGGAGGTGGTCGGCGCCTTGTTCCCCCGACTACAGAGGGGTTTCACCCCTCCGTCCATGACTCCGCCCCCTGCGGTGCCCTATGTGGGCCACAGCGAAGACGACGACGACACAGTTTCGGAGGTGACCGAGGCCGAGTTGAGAGCGGCGGTGCGCCGGATGGGCGCCAAAAACACCGCCCCGGGACCCGACGGACTGCACGGCAAGGCGTGGGTCCTGGCCTCGGAGGCTCTCGAGCCTCGATTAATTGGTCTCTACAGCGCATGCTTGGAGAGGGGCCAGTTCCCGCTATTGTGGAAGGCGGGTAAATTGGTCCTAGTGAAGAAGCCGGGGCGCCCTGCGGACTCTCCGTCCGCGTACCGGCCCATCGTGTTGCTCGACGAGGTGGGAAAAGTTTTCGAAAGGATCATTTCGAACCGCCTCGTCGCGCACCTGTCGGATGTTGGGCCGGACCTGTCGGACGGCCAGTTCGGCTTTCGCAGAGGGCGTTCCACGGTGGACGCCATCATGCGTGTAAGAGACCTCACGACGGGGACTGCAGTGTCCAGAGGTAAGGTCGTAGTGGCGGTGTCCTTGGACATCGCCAATGCCTTCAACTCCCTGCCCTGGAGCTGCATTTTGGAGGCACTTCGATATCATCGGGTGCCCACCTATCTCCGTCGTGTAATCGAGGCATACCTGACGGAACGGTCCGTCATTTACCCCGGTCACCGAGGTGAGTGGAACCGGCGAGAGACGTCGCGCGGTGTTCCACAGGGTTCGGTTTTGGGGCCGCTCCTGTGGAACATCGGCTATGACTGGGTGCTGCGCACCGACCTCCCGAACAACGTCAGCGTGGTCTGTTACGCTGACGACACACTAGTGTTAGCACACGGGAGGTCGCATCAGGCGGCGGCTAATTTAACGGCGAGAGCGGTTACGACAGTCGTTGAAAGAATCCGGCAACTGGGACTCGAGGTGGCGCTCCACAAATCCGAAGCCATGTGTTTTCATGGCCGCGGGAACGCGCCACCTCCGGGTGAGTCCCAATTAACGGCGGGAGGAGTTACCATCGGCGTCGAGACGACGATGAAGTATCTAGGACTCGTCCTCGACAGTCGGTGGAACTTCGTGGAGCATTTCCGACGTTTGGCTCCTAAGTTGGAAAGGACGGGGGCGGCGCTTAAGCGCCTCCTACCCAACCTCGGGGGGCCAAACGCCTCCTGCCGGAGGTTATACGCCGGGGTCGTGCGGTCCATGGCCCTCTACGGCGCCCCTGTGTGGGCGCCGAACCTGATGCGGCGGCCCGCTCGGGCGCTGCTCACATCACAGAGGGTCATGGCGATCCGATTGATACGCGGATATCGCACGATCTCCGGGGAGGCGGCGAACCTCCTTGCCGGATTACCGCCGTGGGATCTGGAGGCGAAGGTGCTCGCGCGCGTGTTTTGTTTGCGCGCGGAGGCACGTCGCCGGGGCGAAACTCCGCTGCCGCGCCAGATTAATGCGTGGCGGGATGAGCTCCGGCGTGATCTCATGGCGGAATGGCAGCAACGACTGTCGCAACCGAAGGCTGGGCTCGCTGTCATTGCAGCGGTAAGTCCCCTCTTTGAGGAGTGGCTTGAGAGACGCTACGGCGTCCTCACCTACCGCCTGACGCAGGTGCTTACCGGACACGGAAGTTTCGGTAGGTTCCTGTTTCGGATTGGGCGGGAGGAAACGCCCGGGTGTCATCACTGCGAGGATCGCCCGGAGGACACGGTGGAGCATACGGTGGCGGTGTGTCCTGCGTGGACTGAGCACCGCCGTGTCCTCAGGAATGTGATCGGCGACGGCGACCTCTCGCGTCCGGCTCTGGTTCAGACCATGGTACGGAGCGAGGGGGACTGGGATGCCGTCTCCTCCTTCTGCGAAGCAGTCATGCTAGCTAAGGAGGAGGCGGAGCGCGTGAGGGAACGAACCTCCTCACGACCCGGCCGTCGCGAGAGACACTCCGGGCGTCGGGGATCGCGAGACGATCTCCGGCCACCGTAAGCACGGGTCTGCGGACGGCGAGCATGGGTGACTCGCCGCCCGACCAGAACCAGGCCCGTGCGTACGGCGCGTCGCGTTCCGCGCGCGCCTCAAGGAGCCATCAGACCACCACAGATGGGGCCTAACAAGGCTGATGCCGATACGGAGCCGCGGAAGACTTAACGGGTTGCCGGGGCTCCGGTTCGAAGTGCAGGTGTAGGAACGGGGTGGTTTTTAGTCAGTAAGAGTCTGACACTCCCTCCCGCCTCACCCAGGCGGGAGAAGTCATTGGATGATTTTCCCCCCTCAAAAAAAAAAAAAAAAAAAAAAAAGGGATACCACAATAATCCAGAAGTGACAAGAGAGACGTTCAGTGATGACGGCTGGTTCCGATGTGGGGATATTTTCTACAGAGATGAATCTTGGAACGTGTATTTTGTGGAACGATATAAGTCACTATTGAAGTACAATAATCATCAGGTTTGTAGAACATAACATATAACATAACACCTTTTATCCCCGAAGGCGTATGCAGAGGTGCACATTACGGCAATTAATGCCACTACACAACATAACATCCACTTTTCACAATTTATGTTATAAGTCCTATGTAATATGGGGTGAGCCTATTGCCATATACCGGGCACAATTCCAGACTTTGTGCTTATCAGTTTGTGAAAATAAGATTTCGTTAAATAACGCCAAATCTTAATTTCGGGAGCTCTTAAAATTAAAGAGGTTGGTGAATACGGGTACTTGACGATTATTTAATACATGTCTTAGCTATAATATAGAATAAAGACATAAATATGTAATTCCTGTTTCTGTATATACTTTAAAAAAAAATATTTATATATTATTATTTATATATTTATTAAATTAGATTACAATTTAACCAGTAGGTATATAACTGTACAACCTAAATACATATAATACATTGTACAATATAAACTCTAAAAATAAGTTTATGAATTCAAATTATTTTTAAAACAACTATATAAATTGATAATTTCAATGCAGGTGTCTCCGTTAGAAGTCGAAATGATGATAATGAAGCACCCTGAAGTATTCCAAGTAGCAGTGACAGGTATACCGGACAGAGAGTGCGGGGACCTGGCGGTGGCGTGCGTTGTACCCAAGCCTGGCTGCAGCCCCACAGCGCAGGAGATCAAAGACCTGGTCAAAGGTAAGGTAAGGCTTAATAAGGTATGGTTTTTGTAGACCACCACAGATGGAGCTGATGCCGATAAGGAGCCGCGGAGGACTTAACGGGGGACCGGGGCTCCGCCTCGAACTGCAGGAATAGAAACGGGGTGGTTTTAAGTCAGTAAGACTGAGTAAGAGTCTGAAACTCCCTCTCGCCTCACCCGCGCGGCCGCCGCCGGGGGCCGGTGGTAGAACGCATATTTTTTTTATAAGTTGGAAAGTCATCGAATGACTGCTCCCGCCTGGGTGAGTCGGGAGGGAGTGTCAGACTCTTACTGACTAAAAACAACCCCGTTCCTTCTTCTGCACGTGGAGCCGGAGCCCCGGTTACCCGTTAGCTTCTCCGCGACAATATGGTATGGTTAGGACTAAAAAACATTAGTGTTAAAATTTTTCTAAAGAAACAAAAAGATATTAGCGGCTGGAAAACGAAGTCTTTGTTGCAATGGCGTCTAAATAGAATGAATACATATAGCTACTGATTTACTAATTTTTTTTATTTAAACAGTCTGCCGGCAGACGTAATGAGTGAAACAAATTCAAATAGGTTTAAACGAAAATTGAAGTCATATTATTTAGAAAGGTCGTAATAATAAGAAAGTATAAGTTTCAACGCCTGTATAACATTTAAATATAAGTACATTTGATTGTAATGTCTAGCGACTCGACCCCGCAGTCAAACCATTGCAACGGTTTTGTCATAGTATAAAGAACACAGTAGGTTATCTAAGGCCGCCCGCCGAGTTATTAGCCTACTCTTGCGTTGATCCCCAGGGTTGTCACTTTTACTTTTAGTTAATATTTTCGAACAAGCAGCACTTGATCTAAATGTATGAAATGAAAAGCATATTATGATTGAATATTTTATCAATTTATAAATTTAGTAAAAATTAAAAGCTTATAAAAAGATTATTAACTTCTTAAAATAAACTTTAGCTCTATACATAGTATTCAGAAAGTAAATTTGGGAATACATTTATATGGAAAAATGCGACTCTGCTACGCTCTTAACAAATCAGATAAACTGTGAAATAAACAATACAATACCACATTTTCTTATAATATTTAAGTATAGTAGGTAATTACATTTCTGGTTGAGTAGGAACTCATCATCAAGTACCTACAAATTATATTATGCTAGAAAAAGTGACTAGCTTACCTTTCCTGTTCAATAGGTACCTAATCTGAACAGAGAAGGGTAGACGACTAATTTTTATTTTAATGTCCGTCTGGTAGATTATTTAAAAACATTAGACACGTATTTTTTCTTTTCTCACAGAAACGAATAGTTTCGAAGATATATTGATTTGAAATGTCGCGTGACGTCACTTCTCAGTACATTTTATACTAAGAAATGACGTTTTAGCCCCCACTCCTAAACTTTGATTCGTTTTATCTAAGTATTGTTTTATTATACGACAAAATAAAAAAATACGTGTCTAATATTTTTTCATTACCTAACTTACGGACTAATTATATTTTTAATTTTCATACCCTGTCATCATCCCCAATTAAGACACCCAAACACACAGCAATACGTTCTTCTACGATTATCAGACATTTTTTATTTCATTGAACAGTGCCGAAAAGCCGTGAAGCGCGCGCGAATCTCGTACAGTGTCAGCCCTGCCTGGCGCACTGAGAAACGGGTCGAGATTTTGTTAAAGTGTGCGTGTGTCGACGCATAGATACTATAGCGCACACATATAAGCCGCGCGCGGAGCATTTGTATGAAGATAACCTACTTTGTTCTTTATACTATGGTTTTGTGGGGTTTAGATTGTAAAATAATTATCTTTGTGATATAAAGATAAATCCTTAGGTACTAATATTATAAATCGGAAAGTGAGTTTGTTTGTTTGTTTGTTCCACTTTCACGCCGTAACTACTAAACCGATTGCTTTGAATTTTTGCAGACGTGAAGTTAAAAGTCTGAATTAAATAATATGATATTCTCGAGGAAAAACGAAATTTTTGGTATAGATGGCGCTGTGTGTATTAATTGGTATATGTCACATAGGCTACTTTTTATCCTTTTGTGACGCGAGCGAAGCCGCGGGTAAAAGCTTGTAAATAAATAATAAGTACTGAAAAAACTTGAGACGAGAACAGGGAGTTGACGAAGATGATGTTATTGGGGCTAAATTAGTTTTTGTTAAGTATCCTTATTAAAGTTTCCAAAGCACATTTTTGCCAACAGATGATGCAGATAGCCTTTACCTCCACTTCAACCGGGGATATTAAAAAAAACAAACTATGAAATGAAATGATATTTTTTTTGCAAATAGTTTACGAAGTGGTAACACACACGTCAATGTTTGAATTACTAGATGAGGGGGATTTTCTGACTGACGACTTTGAAAAGGCGACTAGAAGAAGACTTCTCAAAGTCGTCATTTAGAAAATCTCCTATCTGACGCTGACGACTGTTAGAAAATCGGTGACAGTTAGAAAATCTCCTATCTGATCTAGATCTCCTCATCTAGTAATTCAAACATTGACGTGTGTTAAGACTCGATCGACTTTGAGAAGGCGTTTCTTCTCAAAGTCGTTGAAACAAACTCAGATGTAGCTCAGATGACGTATATAGGACGCCCTCCAGTTAGTCGCAGGAATAATACCGAAGCTAATTTCAAAGCTGTTAGCAGTGGTAGAAAACAAAAAGCTGAAGATATTGTTCAGAGGCAAACATTATTTTAATGATCTTAAATCTTTACAGAAAACCTGACGGAGACAAAGCATTTAAGAGGAGGAGTGATCTTCATGAACAGTTTACCCATCACCAGCGCATCCAAGATTAACAGACAGAAGCTGAAGGAACTGGCACTCGCAATGCCAAGAGAATGAAACTAAATGCATTTTATTAACCATAAATATTCTTCCTGAACTGGGTTCAATGTTTTTTATTGTTCTTGTTAATAAACGTTTATTTTGTTATCTCATGATAGTTTTAAATGTTCTTAATAACGTGTGAAAGTTACAGTACATGGCCATTGGCCATACACCGCGTCGGTGCTGGATTTTTCGGCACCGGCTACCCGGCAACCGAAAAGTGTGAAATGGCACTAAGTGTCGTAATATTTTGCATTAGAAGTTTTGACAACCCTTTTTCGGGTTTATTTTTAATACCAAGAGTAGGTGTTTAATAAAAAAGACACAAACAAACGAATGAAACCAAACTACTACTGCATGCTCGAGCAACCAGGTTGCTACGCTTCATTATGTTGTACAACATTGGGTTCTTCTAGATGGGAGTGAATAGGTTTTTAAGGGTCTGCAAGCTGCATGTAATGCCCCAAGTGTTGCAAGCGTTTGTACATATGTACATAGGCCACGGTAACCATCTTAATCAGCTTACCATCAGCTGGGCCTTGTGCTATTTTTGCCACCGTCATAGTATAAATTTTTTTGGTGATCCACAATGCTCACATAATGTCTTTGTAAACCCACTTCCACAATATAGGAAAACATCGTTATTTGGATCTCTTTTTAACCGCAATTACGAATTTATGATAACTGAAGGCATATATTACCATTACCGTGCCCAATCGAGGAATCGAACGCATTCTACCAATGAAGGAAACTAGACGATAAATTATGTTTTTTTAAGGGGGGAAAATCATCGAATGTCTTCACTTGCCTGGGTGAACTGAGAAGGAGTGTCAGACTCTTACTGACTAAAAACCACCCCGTTCCTACTCCCGCTCTTCGAGCCGGAGCCCCGGTAATACGTTAAGTCCTCCGCGGCGCCGTATCGGACCGTCAGCCCTAATTTGGACCCAATCTACCTAAGATAAATCGTGTTAAGTAAGTAAATAAATAGCAAAAACCTCAATGATTCTGATATAATTACATCATCATACATATTAAATAACTAGCTGAGCTCGCGACTTCGTCCGCGTGGAATACTTAGTGATTCACAGCTCCTACTACATATTATCATGCTATCCCCATAGTTGATAGTATGATAATATGTAGCCTATATGTTAACCCGACCTGTTAGTAATATTCATGCAAAATTTGAAGTAAATCCATGCAGCACTTTTCGAGTTCAACCCGGACATACATACAGACAAACAGACAAAAATACCAAAATGCATATTTTTGTCATTATTTAAAAAAAATATTCGATGTACAGTTTTCACTTTCCTACGATTTTATTATACCTATGTATAGATTCGGTTGTTATAAACTATAATAATCATTTTAACAGAGATAAGGGTCGACCTAGCCTTGATAACAAAAACTTCATAATACTTAATATATATAATTTCAGCGTACAAGTAACTATTGCCATTATCTACCACGCTATCACGAAAATACTTGAATAATAAATATAATTCTCTACTAATAAATAAACCAAAAAGTCTGTTGGACCAAGTAGGTAAGACAAATATTAATAACAAGCAAAAAGTCAAAACTGAAAGGAAAAAAATAACTATCATTAGTATTGAAGTGGGCGCCATAAGTTCTATACAAAATTATTCATTAAAACCTTAATACATACTTAGATACCGAATTTGTTGGCCATTAAGTTATATCATTATGATATGACCTTATGGCACCGGCTTCTAAACTCAGTGTGTGGGTAACCTATCAGTACTAATGATAGTTATTTTATTATGATGATTATATTATTGATGAGGATCAATACAAATTAATCAAGCCCAAACACAAGGTAGTTAATATAAACCGCTGAGGTGACTGTTGGACCAAGTAAGAAAATAAAGACAGTAGGTACAAGTGTGGGAGAGCCATGCTTCGGCACGAATGGGTTGGCTCGACCGGAGTGATACCACGGCCTCACAGAAAACTGACGTGAAGCAACGCTTGCGTTGTGTTTCTTCGTGTGAGTGAGGTTACCGGAAGCCCAATTACCTTCCTCTTCCCCAATCTCCCCAATCCCTGAATCCCCAATGATCCTCAAACTCCTAATCCCCAAAAAGCCGGTGACGCACTTGTAACGCCTCTGGTGTTCCAGGTGTCCATGGGTGACGCTGATTGCTTACCATCAGGTGATCCGTCTGCTCGTTTACCGGCGTAAGCCATAAACAAAACCAGAGACAGAATCATAAACTCCACAAAGATTATCCATCTCGCTATTTACCATCAAATAAAAAAATATATTAATATCATGTTTCACAAGGTCAACCTCATAAGAAACCAGCGCTAATTATATCAGTATTATACATAGTAAATTGCGTAATAGAACGCGGAAAAAATACCGCAAACAAAGTCGCGGGGTACCGCTTGTTTAGCCACTCGACTTAGACAAGAACGGGGTAGGAGAGGGGAGCGGGAGGGGTGTGTTGCTAAACATTATATATATATACATATATTATATCATAATGTGTTAAGTATATACAGATAACTCAATCGCGAATCACATATACTAGTGTGCTCTGAGAAAACTGGGCAAAATGGAAAAGTTTATGTGCAAAAATGAAGTGATGGGACCCATTTTGGACAAGTTGGGGGATCGTGTGGTTGCCAGTAGTGGGATTCCTAGTGATAGATGTCATCTTGGTAAATTAATATTTCAGAGTATAAAAGAGGATCCAGATTTTGTTATGCAGGTAGAATTTTTATTTATTTTTAACTAATATTCTAGTTAAGTAATAGAGGTGACTGTTAATGAAGCGAAAGAGGTATGTAAGTTGTAGCAATTGGCGTTCCATAGTCTTTGCCTACCCCCTTGGGATACAGACGTCAGGTTATATATGTACGTATATATGAATGTAATATTATAGTAATGGGTCTTCTTTTTGCCCTCCCTCGTTGGCCGAGTGGTCACAAGTGCGACTGCTGGGCGAAGTGAAGATTCGATTCCAGAGTCAGGCAAAATAATACTAGGTATTTAAAAATTCGCAGTAGTAGCACGGAGTCTGGAATTGTGCCCGGTATATGGCAATCGGCTCTCCCCCTATTACATGGGACTCATAACGTAAATAGTGAAAAGTGGGTGTTACATTGTACAGTGGTATAATGTAACACCTCTGTCTACCCCTTCGGGGATAAAAGGCGTGATGTTATGTTATGTTATTATGTTAGTAACTGCTGAAGATTATTTAATGAAATTCATGGTGACGATGATGATAAGATGACATATCATAATATTTTTAAATCTCCGAATAAATATACAGTAGTGCACATCTACATCTTATAGTCTTATAGTATTATATAAAGCGGAAGAGTTTGTTTTTTTGTTTGTTTGTTTGAACGCTCTAATCTCCGTAACTACAAGTCTGATTTGAGTAATTCTTTTTGTGTTGGATAGCGCATTTATCAAAGATGGCTATAGGCTATAAAAGATCAGTGGGGGTAGGCAGAGACTATGGAATGCCAATTACTACTATTCCTACATACCTCTTTCGCTTCATCAACAGTCATCAATCTTTTCATGCATGCTCGTTGGTTAAGGGTACTTTTAATTTGGCGCTTTTTTATATATCGCCATATATGAATCATACGATACACATACCAAAATAACACTTTTGTCAATTTCTGTCTGTCTGTCTGTTTGTTTGTTTGTTTGTACTGACTAATCTCTGGAACAGCTGGACCGATTTTGACAGAACTTTTATTTAAAATCCTGTAATGCTTTGCCCGACCCGGGTATCGAACCCGAGACACCTTGCCCGGCAGTCACACTTGCGACCACTCAGCCAGCGACGCAATCTTATAGAATAAATAAGAATAATGAAATAATAATATCTATTAATAAAATTTCCCCGTGTAAGTAGTTGACTTTATCAGGATCAGCTGATAACAACATAGGCAAATAAAAAAATTGGGCGAGGTCTGAAGGTCGACACACACCTACAAGCAAGGTTCCGCCACGGTTCCAATCCAGCAATTAACTTGTCATTTCAATATGCACTTTAAAACGTATGTCGTATGACATATTTCATAACGTCAATGTAAAAAACCTGTAAGTGCGCCGCCCGATCTTTTTCTATTGTTTCTACAGCAAAATCATACCGGAGCTGTGTGTGAGCAGTGGAACTGTGGTTATTTGGTGTGCGATGATCTGAACACTATAATTTTTTATTTATTAGATTATTTGCCATTAAAAAAAATACAGTATTTTTATGATATCGGAAAATTTTGCAAGACATTTATTAAGGCTTATTATAAGGTTCGGTGCCCACACAGGGGCGCCGTAGATGGCCATGGACCGCACGATCCCCGCGTAAAGCCTCCGGCCGGCAGGAGGCGTTTACACATGAGCCTAACTTATGAAAATATATCAATCCAACTTTCACTATTAATGTTATGAGTCAACTATGACTAGTATGACTACACACCCTCAGAGCGATTCGTGATTGATCTCACAAATATACACTTTGGTCTACTCAGTAAATTGAACCCTATTACTATCAAGAAATCTGAAGTTTTATGTACTGTAAGTTCTAAAAGTTTTTTTCTGTTTTTTTTTTAATCGTTGCCCCACACTAGGATTTTCTCCTGTGTCGTGGGTGCACTTACAAACATATAAGTTCACATACCCAATGACAGCCAGACCCGAAACAACAATTTGTGGATCACAAAAAGTGTTGTTCCGTGCGGGAATCGAACCCGCGACACGTTGCACGGCAGCCGGTTGCCCAGCCACCGCATCAACAGTTACATAACATAACATAGGCAGAGGTGTACATTATGCCACTGTATAATATAACAAACACCCATTTTTCACTATTTATGTTATGAGTCCTATGTAATAGGGGGTCAGCCTATTCCCATATACTGGGCACAATTCCAGACTCCGTGCTACCACTGAGACTTTTTTTAAAACGCTGTAATACTTTGCCCAACCTGAAAATCGTACCCAAAACCCACTGCTCGGCAGTCGCCCTTGCGACCTCGGCCAACGAGGCAGTCAGGCAGGTACACGAGGATCGTAATAAATCAATAAAATATAATAATATGCCTACCGTAAAATACACAATAAAACATAACCGTCAATTTGATAATAATAAGTAAAAAAGGCAATAAAGATAAAAATCTGATGTAATAATACAACAATAATAATAATTAATTAATTACAGATTGGTATTTCAGACTATTTTATCGTCTCGACTAGATTATAATACTATAGTGAATATAACGAATAATCCATAATAGGTACTATAATCTGTAATACTAAACCGAACCTCTAGATGTGTTACTAAGCGCAAATTTTGAGACAGCTGAACCGATTTCACTAATAGGGTAGATGCCTAATTTTTATTTTAATATTCGTCTGGTAGATACCAGATTTATTTTAAATCATTAGATACGTATTTTTTATTTTCTTACAGAAACGAATACTTTCGACGATATATTGATTTAAAATGTCGCATGACATCACTTCTATGTACATTTTATAAGTACGTAGAAATGACGTTTTAGCCCCCACTCCTAAACTTTGATTCGTTTTATCTAAGTATTGTTTTATTATACGACAAAATAAAAATACGTGTCTAATATTTTTTCATTGCCTGTACGTTAACAGATTAATTAGATTTTTGATTTTCGTACCCTGTCATCATCCCAATTCTTATATTGTTGGGTATGTTTTCGTTAGGAGAATGTTTTCTTTTAATGAAAAATTAGCTTCTGCCCGCGACTTCGTACGCCCAATCCCGTTTTTGCCCGTTCCCGTTCGTGACTATCGGTTAAAAGTAAAAAAGTATTGGATCAAAAATATCCTATGTCCGTACCCTGGTTCTAAGCTACCTCCCCACCAATTTTCATCCAAATCGATTCAGCCGTTCTTGAGTTATAAATAGTGTAACTAACACGACTTTCTTTTATAAATATAGATAATAAAATATAGTTTAAAATAAATGTTTGTGGGCAAAGTCTAAATGGCTAACACGGCAGTGTAGGTATCTGTAACACGCACCTCGGAGCCTGAAGCCCGACCGGGGCTGCAGATGATGTAACGGGTTGCCGGGGCTCCGCAGCTCCGGCAACCTGGAGTAGGAACGATATGGTTTTTAATCAGTAAGAGTCAAAATAGTTTACTGAATATTTTTTCTAACTATTGAGCATTTTCTCGCTCCTAGCTTTTTGGGGATAAAAGACTACCTACTACGGATTATGAGAATTTTATTCCACCCCGGTACGGACGCAACTGTATGGAGGCACCGGATGCTCTAGAAGAGACCTGTTACGAAGCCCCTACGTTTACGATATATCCACATCCCTAGGGAGACGGTCTTTAAGCCTCTCTGTGTACAGCGGCACGTGACCACTATGCTACCGTCTACCCTGAGACCACTGACCACCTACAGTCTCCACTCTACGCTGACAAAAAAATATGTTTTTACAAATTTAATCGTTTTTTATTCATTTTATTCATTCAACATCAGCCTTAAGTAACTGCTTAAACCTATTATTACATAAAATAAACATTTATTTCCCCACATTTATGAAAGTAAATCTTGTTCGGGAGCGCACCATGTATACACCCGTGGCCCCAAAAGTCCGCCTGAACGCAAAACGTACCTAGCAAGGTTAAAATCGTTTATTTTACGTTGAACGTTATCATTATGGTACATCTATTTGTAATTTTTGTTTATAAATACTTATTACTTATATGAAAACATTTTTTTCTTTGGTACCTTATACTTATATCATGGTCATTGTTAAGGTCCTATAATAACTCACTTCAGAGTTAAACATGTATGTAAATGGAGATAGATAACACTATTCATCGTGTCTCATTAATCAACACTGTTTATTTAACGTTTTTTTTAAATATGTCTACAAATTAGCTACTGCCGCGCTGTCATCTGCTGTACGGCTCCTGTTAGTTACAGCGTGATGTTCTGCCTACCTCGATAAATGCAGTATCCAAAATAAAACAATTACGGGAAGGCCCGTAACACCGGACGGCACCTTACGCCGGCCACTTGTATTATCTTGATAACTGATAACACAAGCTCTTTAATTTTTACTAAAAATCTTAGGTGTCTGCCACTGGGAGATTTCCTTCTAAAAATTGAATCACTCGCGTTATTATAGTTTTAGAGATAATACAACTATCTGGCGTTAGGTGCCGTCCGGCGTTAAGGAACTTGCCCCTACGAGTATTGAAATCGGAATAGTGGTTCCAGCGATTGGTTTGAAGGCGTTAGCGCTTAATCTTCCTTAGGACCATGAGACTCTTACCTCACTATAACCATGAGGCTAAAGAATACTAAATTTTCCCGCGTAGACTATTTTTGAAAAATAATAGACGTGTCATGACATGATGTACGAGTTTGTTTTACGTTACGAGATCCAAACGAGGCCGCTTTCGACGTTCTGATTGGCCGGCTTTAATGAACCAACCAATCAGAGCGTCGAACGCGGTCTCATTTCGGTCTCATTGACTGTTCAATCACCAAGCGGTCACCGGTGACCTCTCTCCACTAACTCCATTATAGACCTTATTTTCGATGTTTAGAGACTACTTCTGTATGAACAAATTTTGGGGATTTTCGGTACGATATATCAACGTATTAACCGTAGAACAAACTGCTACTAAGCCCTATAATAATAAACTTTCTCACACCTTTCCTCCGCAGATTGACGGCAGAACAGGCGAATCAGAAACCAATGCATCAGTATTAAGAAGAAGTATACAATGTGCCACTGCCTTTAGAAACCTGGGTGTGAATACTGGTGACGTCATCGTTTTAATGGCTACCAATCATTTGGACCAAGGCATACCATTGTATGCTGCGTTGTACCTTGGCATTGCCACCGCTACTATTGACAGAACATTGTTAGTTGGTAAGTAATTTAAACTGTCAAACACCGAGCGGTCACCGGTGACCGCAACCTATTGTTCTTTAATTGTGTCTATAATGACGGTACTCAACGAGTTAATTGATAAACAAAGCTTGCGTTGTGTTTCGTCGTGAGTGAGGTTACTGGAATCCAAATTACTCCCCCCTTCCCAAACTCCCCAATCCCTGAATCCGCAACAATCATCAAATTCCTAATCCCCCAAAGGCCGGTAACGCCTCTGGTGTTCCAGTTGTCCATGGGCGACGCAGATTACTTACCATCAGGTGATCCGTCTACTCGTTTACCGGCTTATTCCATAAAAAAGTAGAGAAGATAAGCTTTAGTTAAGAAGGCCCCATTTAGATAGAATAGAAAGATTCGCCGTCTTCACTGTTTAATTTTTTTGTGTGTTTTTTATTGTACTTTGTCTTGTTTGTTTGTAGTTTTTTTGTTTGTTGTTTGACTGCCTCGTTGGCCGAGTGGTCGCAAGTGCGACTGCCGGGCAAGGGGTCTCGGGTTCGATTCCCGGATCGGGCAAAGTATTACTGGGTTTTTTCAAAAAATTTCAGTAGTAGTACGGAGCCTGGATTGAGCCCGGTATATGGCAATAGGCTCACCCCCTATTACATGGGACTAATAACATAAATAGTGAAAAGTGGGTGTTACATTGTACAGTGGCATTGAGTGCCGTAATGTACACCTCTGCCTACCCCTCCGGGGATAAAAAGGTGTGATGTTAAGTTATGACGGTGTGCAAATAAACCATTTTTCTTTCTTTCTTTCTTTCATTCGAGAGTTCGAATTGATATCTTAGCTGGTTCCAAACCTCTGTTGTTATATTAGTATAATATTTTCCATTACCTCCTCTTCTACAGGTGAATTGGAATCTACCTTCAGCAACTTACAACCGAAAATGATCTTCTGCCAAAGTGAAAAAGTGTTAGATGTCCAAAAAGCTACCAGTCAAGCAGGTTTGAACACGAAAATCATCAGTTTTGATGCAACTCCATATGCTATGAGTTTCTCTGAAATGATGCAGACGTATGGAGAGGATATCGATGTGAATGATTTTAAGTAAGCGCTCAAAATGTTAAACTTTAACTTTTCTTGTATTGCTTCTGTAGTGCGTCCATGGTCAGCACTGATTGCTTACCATCAGGTGATCGGTTCGCTCGTTTGCCCCCTTGTCCAGGGGCACGTAAAGATGGACCTCATAAAAAAAGTGACTGTTGGTATCAAACATGGCTTTGATTTTTGCTATTGTGACTGTTTCAGATTGTTTAATGTAGATCACATAATAACTAAGTACCTCATAATTACTAATATTATAAATCGGAAAGTGAGTTTGTTTGTTTGTTTGTTCCACTTTCACGCCGTAACTACTGAACCGATTGCTTTGATTTTTTGCAGGCGTGAAGTTAGACGTCTGGATTAAAAAATAGGGTACTTTTTATCAGGGAAAAATTTGATATTCTCGAGGAAAAACGAAATTATTGGTATAGATGGCGCTGTGTGTATTGGTATATGTCACATAGGCTACTTTTTATCCTTTTGTGACGCGAGCGAAGCCGCGGGTAAAAGCTAGTAATAAAATAAAATAAAAATAAAAAAGCCTTATATTTCGTGGAAAAAAAGAAAACCTAAATAACAATTATTATTATTTTTACTAAATTTAACCAATATTATTTTTTGTTTGATTGATTTTAAATGTAGAGGTATTTGAAGATTTAAATGTTTTGTTCAGTATTTGGTTTATTTTCCAGAACCCCTCCTCGGGTGAAGGCCTCCTCCAACGATTTCCATTGCTGCATAGGGCTTTCTGTATCCAATCATGGCCAGCCGTCTTAACAATCTCATCCTAATCCTAGTACCTCATACATACATACATACATAACTTCACGCCTGTCTCCCATGGGGGTAGGCAGAGACTAAGGAATTACTACGATTCTTACATATCTCTTTTGCTTCATTACCAGTCATCAATCGTTTCATGCATGCTCGTCGGTTAAGGGTACTTTTAATTTGGCCCTTCGCCAATCTGGTCACTATATGTCCGTCTAGGGCGCCCTCTTCCGACGGCCCCATTCATATCCGCTCTGTATACTTCTTTCTACTTCTTTCGTTACTCTACTTTCAACCATCCTTTCTACATGTCCAAACCAGCGTAACATTCCCTTTTCAATCCTTGTCACTCATACCACTCATACATGTACCTCATACTAATCCTTAATTATTGTTCCTTGAAATACTCCCGCCTTATATACAGTGATCAAGAATTTGCTTGTACAATTTTATCATTCTCTTTCCAGGCTAGCAGACTTCGATCCACAAGAAACAATTGCCTACCTAGTGTCCACAAGTGGTACCACGGGACTGCCAAAATCTGCTATAGTGACACACATGAATATGGCAGTTGGCGGCAAATACATTTTGTAAGATAGTAACTTTATTATGATAACAATTAAAATATATCCCGCACGGAACAATTCTTTGTGTGATCCACCGATTGTTGTTCCGGGTCTGGGTGTCATGTGTATGTGAACTTGTATGTTTTTAAACGCACACACGACACAGGAGAAAATCCTAGTGTGCCAACGTCTTTATAATAAAAAAAAACAAAAAAAATAAAATTGTAACAACTTGCCTCCTAATTGTAGTGATTATGGCAAACCCTCTTATGTAGAAGAGTTTCATACTTTTTAGTGATGATTACTGTTAGGTAATTAATTAAAAAGTTATGATAGTATTTCATCATAATTATTCAAGATACCTACTTAGTTACGACCAATCAAATACAAAAGCAGTTAATTTAGTAGTGCAGGCCCTTATTGCCAATGTTTTTATAATAAGTATCGTGAGATATACTAAATTAACTAAAATTGCGGGTTACTCACGTGAATATACTGAGAAAAGCTCTACTAGTTTCGAGCCACAGAGGGGCTCTTCCTCATGAGCAGGGTGCGCGGGCGCGGCGATGTCGCGCAGCCTACAAAGTAGCCAGTATACGTGAGTAACCGCGATTTTCAGTTAACTTAATGACAATGTTCAAAGTACTTACTCTAAAATTTGTTTCTTCAGCACGTTAGCCAAGCAATTCCCTCCAGTGCAATCAGTCCTCATCGTGGCTCCTCTGCAATGGTTGTCAGCTCTGATCAACTACGTCATGGGACCAATATTTAACTACGGAAGGATACAATCATCTGCACCCAATACCAATGAACATATATTGGAGTTAATTCAAAAATATAAGGTTAGTTCGTTAACCGTGTAACGTTGGTAGCTGAAACCCAGCAATTAACTAGTCATTTAAATTTGAACATTAAATCTTAAGTCGTATGATATATTTTAAAATACGCTTTCAGCGCTCGCTTACAGCTTTTTGTAATATTTTCGAAGCATAAAACCGGGCTATATCCATGCCGTTACTTTGTGCGATATCCTGACAATGATAACCTACATAATAATTAATGGCATGACAATTAACTAAAAGTATCAGTTTACTCCCGTAATTGTACTGGGAAAAGCTCTACTAGTTTCGAGTCACAGAGGGACTCTTCCTCATGACGCGGCGAAGTCACGCAGCCTACTCCATCACACTGCGCGTCGAACTGTTCATCATGACAATGCTGAAGAAATAAAATACATTTCTGCCTCATTTTCCAGCCAAAATTCATAATATCCAGTCCGCCAATGATGGCCGCTTTGATGAAGGCAGCTCCGAAGGTAAACTGCGACTTCTCCTGCTTTGATATGATTTATCTTGGGGGAAGTGCAGTGCCACCAGAGATGATAGATGAGTTGAAAGTAAGTTGATTTATTACCAATTTGGCCTACTGTATTATTTTGGTACTACTATCTATGCTTTGGAATGACAAGCTGGAAATATAATTCTTGGACTTCGAACTGCGTGACTTTCAAAAGATTGTAAAAGATGTTTGGGTAGAGGGTGGCTATATAGTATCAGATAAAGTTTATTCCCCCTGAACAAAAAGAAGAAACACGTGAGTGTAGGTAATAAAGTCAAAGTCAAAGTTTGTGTAAGTAATAAAGTCAAAGACTTTGACTTTGACTTTGAGTGTAGGTAATAATAATTATAGTTTTTTATGTTGTTGGTATGTTTTTACCGGGAGCTTGGACCATGCTACCGCTAATGGTCGGCTCCTGCTTTTTAAACGGTTTTACTTAGCTCACCCCATTTGTTTTTTCTATATTAGTTTTTGTTACGTAGAATTTAAAATTGTAATTTATGGAGAATTTTAAATAAATTGTGGTATAATTTTATCCCCAGAGACTGAATCCAAAAGCAGTAGTTACTGATGTTTATGGAATGAGTGAGGTTGGTTCTTTGGCTCTCTCTAACAAAATATCTTCGGCTGGTTCCTGCGGGAAGCCGATGTCGCACATAAAATACAAGGTACGTTATGTTTAATTACTGTATAAATTATAATTGACTGCACGGTTGGTACGGTGGCTGGGCAACCGGCTGCCGTGCAAGGTGTCGCGGGTTCGATTCCCGCACGGAACAACACTTTGTGTGATCCACAAATAGTTGTTCCGGGTCTGGGTGTCATGTGTATGTGAACTTGTATGTTTGTAAACACACCCACGACACAGGAGAAAATCCTAGTGTGGGGCAATGATTTTTAAAAAAAAAGTGTGGGAGAGCCATGCCTCAGCACGAATGGGTCGGCGCGACCGGAGTGATACCACGACCTTACAGAAAACCGACGTGATTGTTTCACGCTTGCGTTGTGTTTCGTCATATGAATGATAACCCCTGAGGCTTAATTATCCCCCCTACAAAAATTCTCAAGTTCCTAATCCGCAAAAGGCCAGTAAACCACTTGTAACGCTTCTGGTATTCCGGGTGTCCATGGGCGACCCCAATTGCTTACCATCAGGTGATCCGTCTGCTGGTTTACCGAATTATCCCCTAAAAAAATACATTGGTCACCTACCACGTCTACTCTTCCCTCAAGTGCTATAAGCTCCGGCTAAGTGACTAAACATAGACAGAGAAGAAAAGAGTCAAGAAAGAGCACTATGTTATAAGAACTGTTTAACTGCGATTTTCAACACCCTAAAGGATACCGTCTTTACCATAAGGGCACTCGGGGTGCCCCGAAGAACTGACAATTTCTACGAGAGCCACACAGCCGGTACACGTTGCGTGATAACCGGCTGCCCTGCAATGTGTAGCTCGATTGCCGCACGGAGCAAATCTTGTTCCCCAAATTGTTGTTTCAGTTCGTTGTTGTGTGTGTCGCCACGGATGGAGCCCAATAGGGCTGATGCCGATACGGAGCCGCGAAGAACCTAACGGGCTACCGGGGCTCCGGCTCGAAGTGCAGGAGTAGGAACGGGGTGGTTTTTAGTCAGTAAGAGTCTGACACTCCCTCCCACCCAGGCAGGAGCAGCCATTCGATGATTTTCCCCCCTTAAAAAAAATCCTAGTGTAACGTTAAAAAAAAGGTTCCATAAGGGCCCTGAATGTGCCCAATGGCCCCAACGTAGTAATAGAAGGCCCTGGTCGTATCATAATACAAAGAGCCTTTATTGATTCACATACACAACTAATGGAATTTTAAAACACTCGAGTCATAGGTAATGATTCAGCCAAAAAGTTACGGGTGGCTTAGATAAAAACCTATGTATCTTAAATCGATAAATATAATATATTGGGTCGAAAGATTTAATCAATTCCATAATCTGCTCTTTAATAGCTAGGCTTTAAGTTTAATCTGAATCACTAAGAATTAATTGCATTATGTTACTAAGCCATAACCATGTCCAAAGTTCAAAAACAGCTCAGTAGATTCAGCAACTTTTTTGTCATAATTATTCGTTACTAGCTTTTACCCGCGGCTTCGCTCGCGTCACAAAAGGATAAAAAGTAGCCCATATGTGACATATACCAATACACACAGCGCCATCTATACCAATAATTTCGTTTTCCCTTGAGAATATCACATTTTTTCGGGATAAAAAGTACCCTATTATTTAATGAAGTTAGAAGTCTGCTAACTTCACGTCTGCAAAAATTCAAAGCAATCGGTTTAGTAGTTACGGCGCGAAAGTGGAACAAACAAACAAACAAACTAACTCACTTTCCGATTTATAATATTAGTAAGGATTGTGGGGAATTTTTTTTGTATTCCAGCTTTCGTGAGGAATCACATTAATAACTATGTTTAATTTGTACCAAAACACCTTTATTTTGTTTTAGTAATTTGTAATCGCAATTCTAAGAATTTCTTATCTTCGGAACCAACTGAGTAAAGTAAATTCTAACAGTCTAACGAGCGTCATAAAAAACCAATTAGTGAACCCCGGTTCCGGAGCGTTGGATTTTTGAAGGCTTTATATTACTAGTACTTACATGATTGTTATTTTTGATTTCATGATTACGGAATTTTTCATCTTACGAGGTTTTTCAGGGGTTAACGGCTACAAGCTATTGTTTCACGTGATAAAATTATTATATTACGTACTCCTTTATATGTTCTGTGATTACGTAGATATTTAAAAAAAAATCGTTGTCCCTCACTAGGATTTTCTCCTGTGTCGTGGTCGTAGGTTACTGTACATGTAGAATTATAATAATGAAAGCAATTGGCGTTCCATAGTCTCTGCCTTTCCATGGGACACAGGGGTGAGGTTATGAATGAATGAATGAATGGGTAGTCGTGTTCTAGAGTGGAGACCGCGTCTAGACAAACGTAGTGTAGGGCGCCCTCCAGCTAGGTGGAGTGACGATATCCGCAAAGTAGCTGGTAGTGGTTGGATGCGTAGAACTGGAGATCGAGCTCAGTGGTGTACCAATGGAGAGGCCCAGTAGTGGATGAGAAAAGGCTGTTGATGAATGAATTTATGTTCATGTAGATTTGTAGAGGGTCTTTGTAGATTTGGCAAAGTTGTTCGGTGGGTCGATTGCAACCAAAAACTTGAAAACCACATTTCAAAACTCTCAACGACACTTACGCATTGTAATCGCGGCTGAATCAAATAATCGAGCACTCGAGCAAACCAAGTTAAGTTATTTAGACTCGAGTCCCCCCGGCACTACTCGGTAATCGAAATAACAAAAATACAACCCACGTACAAGCGGGTTTAAATTACAAGGTCACAAAACCAGTGAAGCACCATACAGCCAAATACGTTCTGCACTTTCAAGTTTATATGCTAAGGTACGCTGTATCTGTAATATGTTTCAGTTTGTGGATGTCGATACAGGAGAAGAAGTTACGGAGCCTTACAAAAGAGGAGAACTTTGGATCCAAACTCCAGGATATTTCAAGGTAAGAAAGGAACACCGGTACTGCTTTTGCGAATTTAGTTCTGTAGCGACTACTAGGCACCGACCGCGTGAAATTCAAACTCCTTTAACTGACAGCTATCTGGTAGCCTTATCTCCGGAACGATCTAATGTTTTATTTTAATTATATTGACGGTTGAAAGGCTAATTGATCTAAGCGACGTTTTCTTGCGATATTAAGTTAAATACATATTTTTTCTCTTTGCCGTGATGTAGGCATTTAACAATATTACAAAAAAATGCCGCTGAGATCAATTAGCCTTTCAACCATCGAATATTATACAAGGTGTAGTTTTGAAACCGTGTCATTTCTCGGGGGCATATCACAGAAGTCATAAAGGTTCAATGTATGTACATAAGATAAAATTTCGGGCCAATAGTTAAAAATACGGCTATAAAAAATCATTTAAGTTCGACAGTATTTCAGAATAAGCGACAGCAATGTTTCTTATTGGAGTTTTATGGAATTAGGAATAATATCTATCAATTACGTGTTTGAGTTTTTATGTGTTAAGCCGCGTTATAAAGCTAGTTACAAGATGGCGGCGTGTACTTCGCACTTACGGATTTCCGTAATTTCAGAAAAATGAAAAATATTTACCTACAATTTTTTTTATTGATTCGGACTCAAAATCGTTATCAGAGTTACCTGAAAATGACGCGGCTTTAAAACAACACCTTGTATTTGATGGGCCGACGTTTGACCACTATCTCGCCTGCTGGTAAGCGATAATGCGGTCTACGATGGAGCTTGGTCTTTTTAGACAGAAGCTTAATTATCTATCATATCTAAAAATGAATCTTACACCACAGATGTTAAGTTGAGATTAGCTATATCAGAAGTTAGAGTGATACCACATTTTGAAAGAAACCGCGGTTAATTACTTGTCAATGTGTGCAGGGCTACTACAATAATCCAGAGGCGACAGCAGAAGTGCTGACTGAAGACAAATGGTTCAAAACTGGTGACATGATGTACAGGGATGAGGAGTGGAACTTCTTCTTCGTGGAGCGCATCAAACTGCTGCTGAAGTATAAGAACCATCAGGTTAGTATTCATTAATCTTGTGATAAAGGAACCATCACAGGTTAGTATTCATTTTGAATTTTTGATAACTGTCATAAAAAGAAAATTTTAAAGAAGACAGTAATTCAATTACCCCACCCCCTCATCTTTTAATCCTCAAATTCCTAATCCCCAAAAAGCCGGCAGCGCACTTGTAACGCCTTTGGTTTTTCGGGTGTCCATGGGCGGCGCCAATTGCTTACCATTAGGTGGTCTGTTCGACTCGTTTATCGGCTTAAAAAAGTAAGGACGATGTAATTCGTGAAAATTGGTTATACCCGGGCCGTAGACAAGAATTTTTATTTTCTAGCTTCTAGAAACGATGATGATTTCATTATGGCATACAGTAAGTTCCCCGGGTAAGAAATTAAACCAAATACCGCACACTCACCAGTCGCACTTGCACAAACAACAAAACTATGTAACTAGAGAATTGTATTGTGAACCTGATTGAAAAACAGTAACCTATGGAGTTTCTTGCTCGTTCTTCTCCATAGGAATCTACACCTGAGCAAACAGCTTCACTTTATTTTTTTATGTTGACGTTTAATAGTGCCTTTCTGGACTAATTGAAATAAATGATTTTGATTTTGACTTTGTGACTACTCGATTAACAAGACATTTAGGTCATCTAGCCTATTCTGTAAGATGTCAATTCGAATTCTCGAAGCGGGCGCGACCGCGGTCTGCCATGTTGTTGATTATGAGAATGATCTCGACAAATGACGGGCGAGAACACGATCGAGCCCACTTCAAAAGTTCAAATTTACAGTTACAGAATAACCTAGCAGTAATAATGTAGGTTCGTAGTAGCTATGACAAAAATACGCTTTTTATCTATTCCAGATCTCCCCAGTAGAGCTAGAAGCTGTGATTCGCCAGCACCCAGGAGTATTGGACGTGGCTGTCACCAGCCTAACTCATCCTGATGATGGAGAATTGCCTGTGGCGTGCGTAGTACAACGGCCAGGCTTCGAAGTCACCGCTGATGAGATCAAGAACTTAGTCAAAGGTATACTTAATTAGAGAACTATCAATGACTGCGTCGACTGAGTGGTCGCAAGGTGCGACTACTGGGCAAAGGGGCATTAAAATAAAATTTACGAAACTACCCTATTGTGCCTTGAAGATAACTATAACTTTTTGGAGGTAGGAAAACCATCCAATGACCGGCGGAAGACGCCTTGAGTGGGACGAGAAGGAATGTCAGACTTTTACTGAATACCAACTACCTCGTTCCAACTTTGCTTCGAGCCGGAGCCCCAGGAACCCGGTCGTCCCCAGCGCTGGAAGATTATCTCTTTTCTCTTTTAACAAATTGTGTATTTTCAGAAAACCTGACGGACACCAAACAGCTCCGAGGAGGAGTAATGTTCCTGAAGGAGTTACCTTTGACCACCTCAACCAAAGTACACAGACGGAAGCTGAAAGAACTTGTTGCGGCGAAAAGGAATGAATTGCTATAACAGTTTTATTAATAAAATAATAATTGTGTTATTGTTATACAAAACCTCTTTAATATTATAATTATTAAAATTAATAAAATGACCTGTACCACAGAAGCACCACGGGGCGAAACAACTCATTGAAATAGCGAATGTAATCAAGGTGCAATTTAGCTTACTTACTCAATACCGTTATTCACCTAAAAATTGCCGCTCTCTTCTAACGCGTCACTCTGTCGCTGTCTGGCGAGGTGTGACGTAATAGCTATGGCGCTAGGGTTGTTTACTACTTACCTTCAACTAATTACGTCACCGATTCATGGTACCACCCATACGCACGAAGCGCTTCGCATCAAGCTTCCTTGTGCGTACTCCTTAGCAGTCTAGGGAGTGGAATTCTTTACAGACTCTGGTCTGTATTTCGTAAAGGGTATTTAACCTGGCTGTCTTCAAGGCCCGAGTGAATAGGTTGCTTATGGGACGACCTGCTTCATCGTAGACCGCATCATCGTTTACCACCAGGCGAGATAGTGGTCAAATGTTGACCCATCATATATAAAAAAAAAAGTTAGATACAGGGAGTAATTAAAACTAAAGCCAAATTCCATAGTAAAATAGAAATTTAATAGTTAATAATAATAATTAAAAATGGGTTTATACCCTTATAAATTCTGGGACAAACATGAATATAACAATTGGTCAACGAACTGGTACATAACATTACATTTGGTCAAATTTAACATAGAATAATACTGATATGTGTCAAATTTTTATAACAGGTGAGTAATTGGAAAGGTTTACTGATCCCCGCAACGCTTGCTTTTGGAGATTCTGAAAAAAAAACACATTTTATAGGTATAAATACAACTAGGGACACGCCCTGGCTTCGCACGGATGCAATACGCATGTATTATACATGTAAACCTTACTTAAGAATCACTTTATCTATTTAAAAAACCGCATTAAAATATGTAGTGATTAAACTGCCTCGTTGGCTGAGTGGTCGCAAGTACGACTGCTAGGCAAGGGGTCTCGGGTTCGATTCCCGGGTCGAGCAAAGTATTACTTGTCCTTTAACTGTCACAATAAGGTTTAAACATGCATATGTAGTTACTTAAAAGATTTGTATTAGTTTAAGCGTGGGAGAACCATGCTGCCAGCACGAATGGCAGCCGGCTCGACCGGAGTGACACCACGGCCTCATAGAAAACTGACGTGAAACAACGCTTGCGTTGTGTTTCGTCGTGTGAGTGAGGTTACCAGAGGCCCAATTACTCCCCCCTCCCTCACCAATTCCTGAATCCCCAACAATCCTCAAACTCCTAATCCTCAAAAGGCCGGTAACGCACTTGTAAAACTGCTGGTGTTTCTGGCTCCGATTGCTTACCATGAAGTGATCCGCCTGCTCGTTTATCGGCTTAAACCATAAAAAAGGTCTTCTATGTAATGGTATCCCAGAAAAAATAAACCTGTTAAAATCTCACCTTTTTAAATATATTAGCCATCAATAAATTAGTCTTCTTGATATTTTCCTTTTTCTTTTCTTCCTTCTTTTGCACCACTTCTGGCAAAGTTTTGTAAATCTTCTCCGAATGTTTTTTCATTTCACGTTCATTAATGAATTTTGGGGCAGCTGGAAGTAACAAAAACACTGCGAGTTTGAAACTATTCGTATTTGTGGTGTGACGTCAATGGATTTTAGTCTTTATTGCGTCAAATATATAAGAGATAATTCCTCAATGATCGAGTCATACACTGTCGGACAAATCAATTTCGTAGAGACCGGACTACCTCACGACTGACTTATTTCTTTTTAAATAAAATTGAATGATTCTTCCGCAGTTACGTCATTATCATGTACTTGACACAAGAAAAAACTTATTTACAAATGCTCAAGAAAATGCCGGTCAGAGCTCTTAGTACTAGTTTACGTTTAACCCTTCGAGCGTCCTTATGAGTACCCGGTGCATCATAAGAAAAAATGCTCCATGCTGCTTTCTCTTTTATAAAATTTTTATTGTTTTGTTTTCATTTTTACTGTATTTTTTATTTCTATTCTAATGATCCTTGTTTTCATGTGCCAATGGCCAAATAAATGCATTTTCTTTCTTTCTTTCTCCAAATGTCACGTGTGCACCCGTTGGATCATAAGGAACTCGGACGCTCGACGGGTTAATGTAAGCAAAACGAGACCGCGTTCGGCACTTTGATTGGCCGGGTCCAATAAACCAACCAATCACAGCACGAACGCGGTCTCATTTCGATAACTTTTAACGTCAAACAAATTCGTAGTAAACCTTCTGAAGTCACTCCAATTAGCATTTATATATCGCAGATTACAAAAAAATATTTCGTATATCGTATTGGAACCGAATTAAAAACTACCAAATACATAGAAACAAGTCCAGTCTACTCACTTCTTTTCTTTCGCAAATCAAATCCGATATCCTTGGCAAGTTGCCGTAGCTCCTCAGAAGTGAGCTTTGTTAAATCTGGTTGTTTTTCCACGTGCATCGATAACAAGTCTCGTTTCGCAGCCCGTTCGTTGGCTCTGAAAAGTGAGTACAATCAATCCAGTATAAGGCTGATAATAATGGAAATATTTACGCTACTGCCTACCCACAAAGATGTTATGAACGCTTGACTATCCTACTAATATTATAAACGCAAAAGTTTGTATGTTTGTTTGTGCAGGAGTTCCATAATACTCCTTCGGCAGAAGGAATCAGGATGAAATTTACAAAAGGGGTAGATTATGGTCTCAAATAACATATAGGCTACTTCTTATCCTTTAGTTGTCTTGTATAGTCAATAGAATAGTACACCAAAACTTTTTCGCTATCTGTAGGTGGCGCTTGAAGCGACTTAAAATCAGTACAAATATAGGCGCATTATGTATATTCCTTTAAAAGTTATTTTTGCTTAAAAGTGTAGTTTCTCATCAAAAATTCACTAACGAAACTTGTCCAAATATCTACTATCTAAAGTTATCTATGTATCTACAACTACAAATATTACCTACAAGAAAAATAACTAAGAACTCACCAATAGTTTGCAAGGAACGCATGTTACAAGGATCGACACAAGGTTTACAAGAACCGTAGCAAGGATTGCAAGGATCGCAAGGATTGGGTGTGCATTTGCACGTATTGGTTGGCATGCACGGCTTGGTAAGTTCACATGGATTACAAGATACACATGGAGCGCTCGCATAGGGGATACATGACTCAACTGAATCACAACTTTTGTAGCACATACCTACAAAAGTATCATCATTTATCTTTACCTGGGATCTAGGTTAACCTGTACGTGTATTAACTATCAGGTCAGGGCTAGAGAATAATTTAGACATTTATAGAGTTTCTCAAAATCTCTCTTTACAATTTGCTTAGTAGCGAGAGTCGCAACATAAAGGTCCATTCGAAAATATAACAAAATCATTCTAATCTTTTCTATGCTCAAACTACTTATGCTAAGGTTTAATTTACAATGACAAAAGTTGAGATACCTCCACAGTAAACAGGGGCAGATGACACATTACCCATACATCTAGGTTTGTGTACAACGACCATTTTCAAACTTGGGACGTATCGGTCTCGTACATGTCTGTAGTGAGAAACATCGGTGAGTTCTTAATTACTGTATTATTAGTTAGACTGTCTAAATACGCTAAAAGGGCTACCATTGTATAAATCTACCATTTGGCAAAAGCTATAAACAAAACTCTAAAATATTTACTCCGACCAACTAATGAACACCCAGAAACATGCCCTGCGGGGTTATGACGTCCTAAAGTCAGAATGGGTCCATTGAGGGAAAGAAACAGAGCTATACAAGTCGTCTAGCGAGATTTCGTTCTCTCATCGGTAACACTCTGGCTTTAAAACGTTATAATACGCCACCTGTCCTAGTAAGTTTATACCATATTTGACCACAATAATGTACTAACCTTTTGTCACTGATGAACTTCAAACAATCTTGCCTTTGAGATGTCTTCTTCACAAAGTCCGGGCGATTCTGTTCCAAATATTCTCTAACAGTCGCCATCTCCATTCTCTTGGCATATTCATCAGATGTTTCGCTTTCGTGGCAACAACTCCTCGGCCTATTTTTACTACATTTTGGACTGCATACTGGACTCGGCCGTCGACATTCCTGCTCGACTTTATAACAACCCTCCTTCTTCCCTTTTTTCGGGACTTTCAAAATAATATTCTTAAGAGGACGACTTTTGTTCTCACAAACAGTTTCCTCGCTCAACATACTCTCCGAAGTCTGTATAATCAAGTTGTAAGCGATACATTTCTTCTGCAACTTCTCAAAGGCCTTCGATCGTTTACACTTGTGGGTCCTGCAGGCACAATGGTGAATTTTCTTGCATCTTTCGCAGTTGACAGAAGTGCTGCTGGAAACTTCGCATTTTCTGCCCTTGCATTTGACTTTTTGGTGAAATCTCTCGCATTCCTTCTTGATCTTGTTTAATACTTTGCAGGCTGCGGAATCTGATGATGTCGTAGGTAAGTCTGAAGAGCAAGGGAGATCGGAAGAATCCGTGCATACTCGAGTCACTTTAGATTTCGTGCACGAAAGCTGAACGCTTTTATCCACCATTTGATCTGAACAACACTCAGACAGTTTACTCCTCTTTCCCTTATCTGAACTTAATTTCGTGTCCGTACTCGTGCTACAACAAGTCTTTCGTTCCGGGTCTGTACTATCGTCGGTCTCCAAAAGATAGTTTAGTACTGTAATTATTTCCGAAAAGCATTTGTTCTTTTTAATCTTTATTATGTCTTTTTTGGAATATCGTCGTGTTATATCTTGTATCATGTCTATGATGGGTCCTTTGGAATCAAAATTATGAGGACAGTTGATATTGAAACAACAACTTTCAGGTAAATTTCTATCTTTTGACTCATTGCCAAAGGGTTGATCAGTATTCTTCGGAACATTGACATTTTCTTTCTCTTCATGGATCCAGTTTTTTTCTTGGGAAGGCTTTTCTTTATCTTCCGTCTGACAACACGCATTTGAGCCAGATTCTTCTCTATTCTCAGTTTCAATGCTTACATTTTTTGTGGGTATATCATTAGTTTCCACGTCGACATTTTTTGTATTATTTCGTTTAGTTGGTAAATCTTTTTGTACACCTACATTTACTTTCTCAATTCTATTCTGCGATTTATTCTTATTACTTCTTGGACTGTTTGGGCTGCTACTGTCACGCTTTTTATTTTTCGAACCACAGTAATCACCCTTGCCACTGTCATATCTTGGTTCATTCTTATTACTTCTTGTACTATCAGTTTGGCTACTATCAGCATTTTTATTTCTCGACCTACAACAATCGGTTTTATCACTATCACTTTTTGATTCACTTTTATTGCTTCTTGCACTGTCTGATTTGCTCGTGTCTGTTTTTTTGTTTTTCGAACTACAGCAATCCGCCTTGCACTATCAGTTTTTGATTCATATTTATTGCTTCTTGCACTGTCTGATTTGCTACTGTCCGTCTTTTTGTTTTTCGAACTACAGCAATCCGCCTTGCCACTATCAGTTTTTGATTCATATTTATTGCTTCTTGCACTGTCTGATTTGCTACTGTCCGTCTTTTTGTTTTTCGAACTACAGCAATCCGCCTTGCCACTATCAGTTTTTGATTCATTCTTATTGCTTTTTGTACTTTCTGTTGTACTGCCATCCGTGTTTTTATGTTTCGAGCTACAACAATCGGCTTTTCCACTTTCAGATCTGTTACTATCCGTTTTATTATTATATTTTGTATTTCTACCAATTCTGAATTCTTCTGTTAGTGCTACGTTGACGGTTTGTACCTGGTCCTCTACTTGACAACTATTGTCGGAAGTGTTAACTGATGAGTTGCTATATATTCCAGTTTCTTGATTGTTATTAGTTTCCATATCTTTTGTTCGAATCTCATCAGTTTGAATGCACGTGTTTATCGATAATTTTTTCTCTATATCTGTATTTGATCTTATGAAAGGAGTTTTTGCCTTCACTGTTTCAGCCGGATACGTATTATAAGTATTGCCAGAAGACTTATTATTTAAACAGCAGGTTTTGGACGAAACCGCAGAATCTGTTTTAGAATTTTTTGTGCACTCTGGGTTCAGGCAACATTGAGCAGATGTTGACACTTCACCAATCGCTAACGTTTCTTGATCAGCTTGTGATATCTTCTCAGTAACCACGCCTGTTTCAACTGGACCGACATAATCAGGGCCCAAATTAACTGTCAAAGTCATATTAGTACCAACAATGGGTATTGTATAATCTTTTCCGATCATTGAGCTTTTTTTAGAGTCTTTATCTTCGCTGCCTTGTTTAGATATTATTTCTGATTTACAACAACTACCTCCAGACTGTATTAAAAGTTTGTCTGATGTGCTGTTAGTACTGACATCGCTGAACGTTTTTCCTCCTTCAGACTCAATACTGTACGCAGAAACTCTTCTACGTTGCTCACAAACAAGTCTAGCGCATTCGTTGTTACAAATAATATTGATGTCAGATAACCTAGGATCAGCGATTTGAGGGTTAATACTAATCTCGGTCTGAAGGCATCTAGTGGCTTCAGATACAAAGTATTTTTTCGGACACACAATACTTTTAGTGGAAGTTCCACATAATTTTATTTCTGAACTCGAAGTTTTGTAGTTATTCATGCACATATTAATGAGCATGTTCGTTTGAGAAGCTTTCGAATGTCTCTGACGATTTGACGTGTGATCCGAACTACTGCTATCTGTACAAGTATTCATCTTACAGGGCGGTTGTAGTAATTCAATTTTATCATCTTTAATGTCACAACATCCACATTGAATAGCAGTGTTATTGATTCTCAAAGGATTTTCGGGCTGTATGCCACGATTAGTCAATTTAGAGCACCTGTATATCATAAAATTATCGCCCACTTCAGACGCACAAACTTGTTTACCACCACAGAGACAAACGTACTTAATGTCACTCGTATGACTGTCGGGAACAACGCGAGTATTTTTGGGGCATTCGATTTGGATTTCTTGCTATCGCCTGGCATTATCAAACAACTTTTTCCTTTATTCGGGCAAGGTATTTCAACTGGAATATCGTCGCCACAATTTTTAATATTCACCTGAACACAGTTGTCTGAAAACTCCGTTTTAGTGTTTAAGTAATGGTGAGGACAGCAACAATAATGACCTTGACTTGGACCAGCTTCTTCTATCTCCCTTTCAGCCTGCAATTTCTTTTTCAGATTCGGCCGCTTAGGGGCATCAGATTGACTCGAGGAAAGAGTAAACACAGAGTGACTTCTTTGGTTTCGTATGGCACTTAACCTGTCTATATCCAAATTGATAGAAGAGCCCCCTTCTAATTTACTAGCATCTCCTGATCCATCATCATAGTTGTTTCTTGTCAAGTCTTTCATCAAATCTTTCAATCGATTGTTAATTTTAGCTTCTTGCGTACAGGTACTTTGAAAGATGTATCAGACTTCACTAATTTCTGTTTCAAGAACATTTCTTTATCCTTCAAATGCTTTTTGTAAGCTTCTTCACGTCTAAGAGCTTCTAGGTATTTTAAATACAGCTCTTCAGATGAAGTTTTAGGGAAACCATTTTCCGAAGAAGTCTTTTCTTTACTAGACACATCTGATTCAGTATTAGAAGCTACAGGCTTAATTAAGTTGGAAGTAACCTTTTCAATAGACGCACTGAATAAGTTTGGGGCACTTTGAGACGTTGAAGCTACAACATTAGGGTTGAATTTTTCGCTTCGTAGAATAGATTTCTTTGGCTTTTTATTTGAACTATCTTCAGTGTTATTAGCATCAGAAGTGCTTGTTGTAGTATTATTTCCTATCATACCTATTCTCTTACTGCTGACACCAGACAAAAAGTCAGAATTATAATCATTTCTATACTTCGAGCTGACTAATCTGTCGACAATATCTTTTATCAGCTTTCTCTTAATATCTCCATCGTCATAGCGCTTTTGCAAAGTATGTTTTAATAGCTCAACACATTGTTCTAAGTCTTTGGTGATGGAATGTTTGGATCCTTTACTGGAATCTGTAGTGAGACCGCTGGACTCCAAGCTGGATTTGTTCCCAGCAGCACTATTGTCCAGCCTTGGTGCATTGTCTTTTAGCTTATTCTGATTATACACATGTCCAGGCATGTATTCAAAACTCTCCGCTTCTGACAACTGAGCTCCACTTTTCTCTTGTGGTGTCTCATCCTTATTAACCTCTTTCTGCTTTCTAGTTCTTAATTTTCTTCTCACACTCCTTGCCTTTTTCTTTCTCAATCTCTTTCTTAATGTATTTAAGCTGATCATTACTGGAATCTTCTGATTGTAAGGATCAACTGGTTTTGGGGCTTCGTCTGGACTGCTCGACTTCTCGTTTGGTTTGTTTAAAGGCAATGTAGTTTGTATTTCTTTATCCATGCCTACATAAGATGTGTCTACACTGACTTTTTCGGGAGATGAAACACTGACATCCTTCTTAACATTATCAATAGTAACACCACCATCTCTTTCAACATTAAAAGAAATGTGTTTAGTAAGATTGACATTGATGGACGGAGGAGGATTTGCGTCAGAAGTATGTGGAACATTAACTTCAACGAAATCAACATCTTTTTTATAAAACTTTGTTTTCTTTCCTATGCCTTTTTTAATTTTAGATTTGTTCTCATTTTCATCAAGCGGAGTGGAATGGGAAGTGGGTATACCGATTTCTTGTTTTGAATCATTGTTGGAATATTGTTGTTTTAAAGCAAGTCTTTCTAAAGTGCTAAGGCTTGATGCAGAGTTCTTTCTGTCACTTTCATTGCCATATCCTACATCGGCAAGTGAGTCCCATTCTAGTTTTCTCTGAGAAGTTATACTACTTGTTGGGGAAAGCGGTTTGTGAGCAGATAAATCGAGAAGTGCATCTAATGCTGAAATGTGAATAATTGTATTTATTAGACATGTTATAAAAACCTCTAATGTTTAATCACAAAATTACTTGCTTACTAAACATGACGCCTTTTATCACTGAAGGGGTAAGCAGAGGTGCACATTATGGCACTGTACAATGCCAGTGTACAATTTAACACAAACTTTTCACTATTTATGTTATGAATCCAATGAAAAAGGGGGTGAGCCTATTGCGATATACCAGGCACAATATACTGCCAGACTCGGTGAAGTGACTGAGATTTTTTTTAAAACCCTGTAATGCTTTGCCCGACTGGAAATTAAACCTGAGACCCCTTGCCTGGCAGTCACACTTACGACCATTCGGCCAACGAGGCAGGCAGCAATAAAATCATGGTATTTTATGTACTGAGAATTTTTATAAACTATGATCGTAACTATAGGTACTTCATTTAAAACCTCCATTTGTGAATAGCATGGATAACTAATCGAAGAAAACTTAATTACTAAGCTAAGCAAAAGAATTATTATTCAATTAATGTTATAAGTCTTCATCAAATGTTATTGGATTAAATAATAAAATGCTATTTCAAGTACAAACTGAACATTAAATAATTTCAAGGACTAACCCAATAATCAATTATTAATAACTATTATTACTTACATTTCTGTGAGTTATTGTCATCAAAGTGGAAGGATTCATCATCAGTCTGTCTTGATACATCAGCAGGTAATTCCTCAATGATGATCGGAGGAGATTCTGTGTGCGGGGAATCAGTCTTTGTTTTTTGTTCGTCTTCATCCTGGAAATTGAATTAAAAACTTGATTATCATTATTATCACTACATAGTATAAAACAAAGTCGCTATCCGCCGTCTGTCTGTCCCTATGTATGCTTAGATCTTTAAATCTATGCAATGGATTTGATGCAATATTTTTTTAATAGATAGAGGAATTCATAAGGAAGATTTTCACGTATAATACATGCATATAAGCCAGGGTGGATCGCTAGTTTAAAATAAGAGTGATTTTTAATTTAAGGAAGGAGTAAATGGGTTTGTAATTGGTTTTGCACGGTGCATGTAATGCCCCATGTGTTGCAAGCATTCATAGGCCACAGTAACCACTTACCATCAGGTGGGCCGGGTGCTTTAATGCCACAGTCATAATATAAAAAAAATTTACAAGTTTATTAGTTTATTTTTCTTTTACATAACAATATAAGATACTGTCATAAAATATAATAATATACTAGCTGTTGCATTCAATGTGGGCAAAGTCGCGGACTTCTTTTAGAGTGTTTAATCGGGATAAAAAGTATCCTATCACCAAAGTCATACCATACACTGCCTGTATACCAAATTTCATCAAAATCAGTCGGTAGTTTTAGCGTGATTGACAGATACGTGTGTGATTTCATCTGGGAATAATTACTTAGTGAGGCAGCAGATTGATATAGGCCACATTTAAAAACGCTAGTGATGTCGCGGGCGGAAACATAGTAGCATAAAAACAATGTGGTATTTATTTCTATTAAACCTGCACAGAAATTATTGAATGACTGTTTAGAATAAAGATTAATTTACCTGTGAACTAGTAGGTTCAGGCAGCGAGCACCTTATGGAGATTCTGCAAACTTCTTGAGAAGAATCACTTTTTCTACCACCGGAATCAGAAGAATCATTTTCACTCTTCATTTTACGCCAAAACAAACCACTTGTGTCTTTTATATCACTCTGAGCTGTAGATAAAGAGAAATACTGCTCTAAATCCCTCTTCCTACCAAACTTTTTGTAATAATCGAGTATCAAAGAATTCACAGCACCGCTAGAATCTATGACGTTCGAAGTCCCCGCATCATTTGTTTCGTCGACCTCATCTCTTTCCATAATTCATTAATATAGCTCAATAAAGTTCCTGGTTTTTATTGTAATTTATAACAATTAACAATAAAAACATCGCAATTTATAGTATTTACGTTGTGTAACGGCTTTGAGTGGACATTTTTGAAATAGTTTGACGTTTCAATTCAAGATACAAAACAAAAGCTAGCGTTTTTATTGATGTACTGGAATCTAGGTTTTTGGGTTAAGTTCGAGGCCTCAAATTACGCATTTTAGTTTCGTTTCGTTAGTTCGATAATCAAGAATAATTTGGAATATTTAACAAATATCGAAAACTTTTATTAAACTATGAACATAGAAATAAATTATGTTTTAATTATGATATTTAATTTTAGCTACCCACAAAATAATTGTTTAGTTTCAAATGTATATTTTAGTTTACAGAACAATACAACAAAACGTTAAATTTTGACACTTGACAGGCAATTGACATTTGTGCTATTGATTTGTGGTTTCTGGTTTATGTTTTACGTTTGCCTGATTTCGATTAAAATAATAAATTAATTCAGCAAAAGGGTGATCTTGCTGATAAATAACAGTATTCCAGATTACATAAATAGAAACTATAAAAATGTCTAGACAAACGTCCCGTCTCGATGCCAAGAAAGTCGTAAGTTTTTGATCAATCTTATTAGACTGCAAACGCCCCATTTTCAGAAATATTCATAGAAATGAATATAATTTTTACAGAATTCTGAGCTTCTGACGCTAACTTATGGAGCTCTAGTGTCTCAAATGCTGAAAGAGACTGAAAATCCTGAAGATGTGAACAAGCAATTGGAACGCATAGGATATAACATGGGCGTAAGACTAATCGAAGATTTCCTGGCCAGGACAACGTCGACACGATGCCTGGAGATGAGGGAGACCGCTGATAAGATACAGCAGGCCTTCAGGTTGGGAAATTTTGTAATTTACAGTGATCTTTAGACAAAAATTTGTATGCAAAGCGACTTAAAGTAATGTTGCTTTTGATAATATGAACTTATGTTTGTAGTATAAACATAAAGATATCGTGAAGCGAAACTATATAGATTGACATGGTTGCATCTTAACCTTTTGTGTGTCTGAACACAGATCCACCCTATCTACAATGTATTTTCTATTGTGTCTCATATCAGAGTATTCAAGTGGTTAAATAGGTTTAAAGTGGTGGTAGTGGTAGTGGTTAAATAAATTCAATAACTGTTACATCAACAACATGGGTAATGATATACATCGGAGGCTTTAGTATGACTTTGTTTTACGTTTAAAGTAATCGTAATGAGTATGCATTCAGCACTCTGATTGGCCGACTTCAATGAACCAACCAATGAGATCCCAAACGTGGTCTCGTTTCTATTACTTTTAGCATAAAACAAACTCCTTCTAAGGGCTCAGAGACTCCATTTTTCTTTATGTCACGTAATCTATCCATCTTTCTTTAACCATCCCCATCATCCTTCCACAGATAATTATGTATTTATTTTAAACTGTAATGACAGATAAATTTACATGACAGATAATAAAATAAATAAAATAAAAAAATTAAAATTAAAAAGCCTTACATAACCCAATTTAAAAAGAAATGTATATGTATTTCCAAAAAAAACATTATTTTATATTAAGTTTAGTTTTAGGGAACCCCTGAGGTGAAGGCCTCCTCCAGAGACTGCTATCGTTCTCAATCTTTTGCTGTATCTAGCCAGCATACTCCAGACACATGCAGGATATCGTCATCCGATTGTGTGTGCGGTCTTCCTCTTTTTCTTTTTTTTCCAATCGGTCCTGCCCATGTCGTAATTATTTTTTTCCATCTATTGTCTTGTAAAAAATGACAGATATCATTTACATTTATTTATTTATTTATTTATTTATTTACATTAAAATGAAAGTTTACAGCAAGAGCCAAAATACTTACATTCTAGGATACAAAAAAGAAACTTAAACCTATTACAATATTAATCACTTAGATAGTTCCTATTCCTATATTATTGAGATTTATATTTAAAAACTTATACATTAATTTCCGTATGACATACAATTTATCGTGGAACACATCTAATTCTGGGTGCTGAGCTATCATCGAGTTCATGAGACCCATCGCTCTTGCCGTTGGTGCTGCAGCACCTCGCTTTGTGCGTACGCCTGGTGGCATAGCAAATAATTTCCTCCGCCTACGCGGTCCCTCTGTGCCATCACCAGCCTCGAGATATCGTTTAGGAACTCCCATTAACCCCACTCATGCTAGTGTAGTGGGATTATCTACCTTGTTACTGAGGAGTCGATAGTAGTGTACCAGTAATAATAATTTACGTCTTAGTTGTAGGGTATCCAGTCCTACCATCCCTGAGACAAACATTGAAGGATAAAGGTAGGGATAATATCCGTACCTCTTCCTATACACAAATCGAGCGAATTTTCTTTGGATACGCTCAATTAGGATGGAGTATTTTGTTTCGTAGGGGTCCCACACCACTGCACTATACTCCAGCCGACTACGCACATAAGCCTTGTATAAAGTTAGTACTGCTCCAATTCCCTTAAAGTTAAGCGAAATCCTCATTACAAATCCCAACATTTTATTAGCACTCTCACAAACATTTATCATATGCTGTCTGAAGTTAAGTTGTGAATCTAAAGTTAGTCCCAAGTCTCTTATTATCTCAACTCTATCCAATTGTCTATCCGATAACTCATAATTGGCAATTATTGGCCTGCGAGCGCGTGTGTAGGTTATAATTTTACATTTTGACCCATTAAAATACAGTCGATTATTGTCACTCCATTTCGCTATTGCGTCTATGTCCTTTTGCAGATCACTGCAATCGAGATATTTTTAACTACGTGATATAGTTTCAAATCATCTGCAAATAATAAACACTTAGCAGCACTAACGGCCCCTGGCAGATCATTAATCATAATGATAAACTGGGTTGGTCCAAGTGTGCTCCCCTGACTCACGCCCGATCTTGTGTAGTAGCTGTCCGATTCGAATTGTGCCAGCCTGACATATTGAGTCCGGTTTCGCAGGTAGGATGCAAAAAATGTTAGCAACCCAGGGCTAAAGCCAATAGCTGCCATTTTTGCCAGTAAAATATCATTGTTAACTACGTCAAAGGCCTTCCGGAAATCAAAGTAGGCTGCATCCACCTGCCTTCCGGAATCCATCTCACCAGTAACAAAATCTACGAAGTTAATTAAGCTTGTTGTAGTTGATCGAGATCCCTTAAATCCATGCTGTTCGTCAGCAGTCAGTAACTGAATCTGCTGTCTTATTCGTTTATCTAAAATAGACTCAAATATCTTTCCGAAAACCGAAAGTACCGCTATGGGCCTATACCCAGTCACGTCCTTACTAGCACCACGTTTAGGTACCGGAGTAACTCGGGATGTTTTCCACCTTAGAGGGTATTTGGAGGTTATTATAGAAAGGTTATAAACGTATAACAGTGGTTTTAGCAGTACTGCTAAGCAGTGCTTTACTAAATATGGTGGAATTCCATCTGGACCAGCAGCAGAGTGACATTTAAGACGCTGCACTGCACGGCTTAACTCTCTAGATGTTATTGAATTAATCTCTATGCGAGTAGCGTCAGCATTGTTATGATTGATTGATCATCAAGTTAAGTATCAAATTCCAGGTTATACCTAAATATGCAGCCCACGGTGACAAGCTGGAGTAGTTCTGGAGATGAGTTCTCGCTAGTCTGGGACCAGTGTGCCCTGAGCGATTGGGTGGAGATGCCCAACAATGGGTTGCGGTACTGCGCCCTGATTCCCGGAGCTATCCGTGGAGCTCTGCAGATGGTACAGCTTGAAGTACAGTGCTGGTTTGTGCAGGTGAGATATTCAAACAGGTTGACGGTAAAAAGCCTCATCATCATTTTAGTTCAGGTTCACCCACTGGTGGATTAATTCTTCCCCCTTTTTCTGCCATACTTCTTTATTACAATTCTCATCTTACTACTCCAGCGGTAAAAACCTAAATTATAGGTGGCATACCTATAATTTATATTATTATTCTACTTATCTAAGTGATCAGACTTAGCGCTTTTAATTTGAAACTAGGCTATATTATCGTGAATAGTTTCCAATTCATAATATTAGAACTTGAAGTCATTACCAAGAAGAAACCTAAAATAAACTTTTATTCAAGTGCAAGATTATGTTCTAAGTAATGCCATCTAGTGCATACCGAATGACTTAATGAAACTTCAACTAGCAGTCATATTAGTTCCTATATGAAATCATAGGTGGCGTCATTCTTAAACTTTACATTTTTACAGGATCAACTCAAAGGAGATGCTGTAACTGAATTACGAGTAAAATATATCAAGAGGTTAGAAGACGCTGTGCCCGCTGGTGAAGACTAGTCATTTAATTCTATTGTATAACTTTATTTTATTCTCATTATAAGTCTACAAGCAAAATATTATTTTATTCCAACAAACTCAATTCACAGATGTTTGTGATGATTTTGAATTCCATTCCGTTGAAATAAGAATAGTGTTTGTAGTTCAATTATGTTTGCAAATACCAACTATTAACCTGCAGCTATTTACCTTAATGTCAATGCTGTAGAAGCCAAAATTGTTTGAATTGTAAATAAGGTTTATAAAACTTTATTACTTTATTGTTATTGAGTTTATGAGCGTAAAATTCATTTGTATTTTTGTTATCAAGTTTCTCACTAGATGGCGCTAAGGAAAAATTAAAGCTTATTAGCCATTAGCTGCTATTAAAAGGCAAGAGTATGAGAAATAAGAAACATGAAACTTTGATCATGATACTGTTGCTTACCTTCCATCAGAAAGTACCTATAACTTACTCAATTAGTGAAAAATCTTATACTGTTATATAAAACTAATAAGTTTGTTTAATCTATGCAACTACTAGTTCGACTTAAAAAAAATTGTGTCGCATACTTAGTCCACTTATCGAGGCAGGCTATATGCTATATACGGTCGAATTGAGACTCTCCTCCTTTTTGAAGTCGTTTAAAAATGAATAGGAGCCGAACAGAACGCGTGAATCCGCGCGGAAATAGCTATGTATGTTATAGAATGCTTTATGAGTTTGAACACCGTACCATCAATCTATATCACTCAGGTACTTCCCCAATCCCAAAAAAGAATGGGAGTCAGTTATGAGAAATCAAAGATCAAATGTTTACTTATCGTAATTGTTGCGATGACTAGATATATATATAAGTAGTTATTTAGCATAGTGATAAGCTCAAAATCGTATGTTCTATAAGTAAGTATGTATCGATGTAGGTATTAATAAACCAATAAAAGTGTATTTATTTTGTGATTTTTTGTTTCATTGACTCTGTTGAGGTGAGACGATATGTTGTTTCTAATGGTTCTATTCTTATGTGAATTAAGTCCGTGACTTACGCTGACATACTCAAACGCCACTAAATTTTAAGTCATGCAATTCCACGCGAGCGTAAAGCTATTTGTTTGTTTGCCTGTCTTAAACGGCAAAACGGAGGTACTAATTAACGTGATTTTTAACTGAAGGTAGTTGAAGGCAGGATAGTCATATAGTCATAGAGTTAAGTACAACCGAAAATTTAGTACCCTTTCAATATTAGGGCGTTAGTGACTTACTGCCCATTTCAGTAACCTATCTATGCATTTACCTCTAGATTGAGGTAGGTCATTGAAATTGGCAGTTAGATGACAACCCAAATTGTTATAAACTGAAGTACCTAATAAGGAAGGTGAGGTATTTAAAAATATCCGCTTTGATGGGAACTTTAGGTTGCTTATGAGACGACGTGCTCCATCGTAGACCGCATCATTGCTTACCACCAGATAGTGATCAAACGTCGGCCTATTAATTATAAAAAAAAAACTTTAACGGTATTAGTGCAGTTCTTGGGCTACCGTGCTATGTAGGTACATTGGTACATAATGATTTGCGGGTTCGACTTCCACTTAGAACAATTCACAGATAACTATATGAAAAAGTCCCCCCTCTCTACGAGTAGGTACGTAGCAACCTAGGAATAAATAGATAGCCTATTATTCTACCCACCTATTCAAAATAATGCAACAAAAACAATCAATTTTGAAACCAAAAATGACACAATAAGACTGAAAATCGCACAGAATACTTACCTACTGAACACAAATCCATTGATTGGAGTGGTAGGCACACTGTTGTCTATTTTTACATGGGAAGTGACAATTGCGAGACATCGACTACTTGTCAAGTGAGTGTGCACTGTGTTGTTGTCGATTGGATGTCTGTTACACCGGACTATTTGTGTCATTTATGGATTCCTATCCTAGTGATTTAGTCGCGGAGAACCTAACGGGTAACCGGGGCGGGCTCCGGCTCGACGTGCAGGAGAAGGAACGAGGTGTTTTTTAGTCAGTAAGAGTCTGACACTCCCTCCCGCCTCACCCAGGTGGGAGCAGCCATTCGATGATTTTCCCCCCTTAAAAAAAATCCTAGTGATTTAAGTCTACGTTCTGTGTTTTCAGAATGGTTCCTCTTCAAGTCCGGAGTGATAACATAACATAACATAGAATCACGCCTTTTACCCCCGAAAGGGTAGAGAGAGGTGCACATTATGCCACTGTACAATGTACACCCAATTTTTCACTACTTGTGATATTGTGAGTCCCAGTCCCATGCAATAGGGGGTGAGCCTACCGTGCACAATTCCAGACGCCGTGCTACAACTGAGATTTTTTTTGAAAACCCAGTAATACTTTATTCCCGACCCGGGAATCGAACCCGAGACCCCTTGCCCGGCATACAAACTTCCGACCACCCGGCTAACGAGGCAGTGAATAGTTGCTTATAGGCACACGTACTTCAACGGTGATATTATTTAGAACGTTAGAATAATCGTTGTTTATCTTTTCACCCACTCGAGGCGAATTGGTAGTAAAACCCGGATTTATGGTGATCACTCGTCCATACATTTAAATTCAACCCCAAACTTATTTCACATTTCATGTACTTAGTGGCGAATTCTCTTGCAGGTCTTAGATGGCACAAATTTATTTACCACTGACTGAAACCGCAACTGTGTCTGCGTTTTTCTAAAAAAAGGCTGCCTATGGTACTCCTTAGTAGGATTAGCTAACTGTTAACAAAAGTCCCATCAAAATCGGTCCTGCCATTTCAGAGATTAACCAGTACAGACAAAATTGTACCTAATAAAAAGTGTTATGATGGTGTATGTGTCGTAGGATAATTTGATATTTCGAATCTTCGCGGAAATCCTAGGGGTTTTGCGAAAACGCGGATAATTAGACATAGGCGAAAAATTATCAAATCTTACTGGACAAAGTCAGGATTTTTGCGAAAATACTCGTTACTATAGTAAGATTGCGAAACGAAACGCTGGCTGTTATGAAATAAGAACGCTAGTTGGTCGGTCAGCGCGTTCAATAAGAGATCGTCTCTGATTGGTTGACGTCTTAAATGTTTTTTCGTCGTCTTAAACGACCAGTTTCATCCAATTTATGGATTACACCCTAAAATTGGATCATTTTTTTTTTACAACGACTGAGATCTCCTATTGTCTGTAGAAAACAACATACATACTAAAATTTTCAATAAAAGGTTTATAAAAATCAATTTTTCTTTCTCACCTAAACTAGGAACCAATTAGAACCCAGCCACCAAAATTGTAGCCAATCAGTGTTGAGCACATCAAATCTTACTATAGTAACGAGTATTTTCGCAAAAATCTTGACTTTGTCCAGTAAGATTTGATAATTTTTCGCCTATGTCTAATTATCCGCGTTTTCGCAAAACCCCTAGGATTTCCGCGAAGATTCGAAATATCAAATTATCCTACGACATATGCATCGTATGTATTCATATGCGTATAATGAAAAACAGTTCGTTCAATATTACAAACAAGACACTTCAATTTCATTTATCTGAATAGATCAGGGGGCTTACTCTTGAATCCAATTCCAATCAATCGACATTGACATTGTAAAATTTCGTACTCTTGAGTTGCAACACTAGCGCCTATTGCATCCGTATTGCGTGGATATTGAATGAACTAAATAGTGTTGAGTTTAGCTTTATATTCCGTACTCTGAATGCTATTTTATTTAATAGCTAAGGTAGGGGTTGTATAGTTTTGACATTGAATAATTATTGGGACTTTATTGGATTGAAATTGTATTGAGTTTGTGATTGGTTTCAAGAGTAAGCACCCAGGTCATTCAGGTGATCAATCTGCCCCCGTGCCTATCGTTATTACGTTACGTTGCGGTGTCATACACAACCTCTTTGTCGTCTGGTACAATAAGCTACATTGATAGGTACCTACACGTGCGGTGCCCTTAATTACGGTTGTCGATAGAATACAATAGCCAAGTGCAATCAGGTTGGAGGAGAGATCGGCAGTAGCCTGGACCTAGTTACAATTCACCACATTTTTATGGAAATTTGCCTATAAAGGTACTTAATACCTATGTGGCTAAAGTCGTGTGATGAAAATAGATAGTGGGTATTTTTTTCGTATTGTTTTAGTGAATTATTTTTTTATGGCATAAGCCGGTAAACGAGCAGACGGATAGAAAGCAATCGGCGTCGCCCATGGACACCTGGAACACCAGAGGTGTTACAAGTGCGTTACCGGCCTTTTGGGGATTAGGAGTTTGAGGATTGTTGGCGATTCAGGGATTGGGGAGATTGGGGAAGGGGAGGGTAATTGGGCCTCCGGTAACCTTACTCACACGACGAAACATAACGTAAACGTTGCTTCACGTCGGTTTTCTGTGAGGCCGTAGTATTACTTCGGTTGAGCCGGCCCATTCGTGCCGAAGCATGGCTCTCCCACACTTAATTGTAATTTATTATTCTCATTTTTAGACAATTATTAATCATATTTTCGAGGGTCGTGGTGGTCCGCAGGTTTAAGATGTCCGCTACTCATACACGAGGGTGCAAGTTCGAAACGTATCAACGTAAGTACCAATGTGATTTTTTCCGAGTTATAATAATATGTAGATACTTTCTAAGATACTTGCAGGCTGTGCAGCATCAACTTCCCGAGGTGATGTCTGTCTGAAAGGATCCCGGTCTTCGCCACCACGCGAGCTCCCACCTCTGTCATGTACCAGTGCACCGCATCATTGCCACGTTTGACCATTTTGAACTTAAGTACTTCTGTAATAAAGGATAGATTAGTTCCTTGCTTCCTTTTCCGAACGGATAACACCGCCTGAGATTCCACGGCTGCGTTGATGGATGAATTTTCTTAGATACACTTGGGGATAAAGTTCACTGAATATTTTACTGACTGCAGTAAGAATTGGTATTTGATTTATGCTGGAAACTTGGAGTGACACCGTTTCAAAAATACCAAATTATAGTTTAATTGAAATAAATGCTTTGACTTTGACTTTTGCTGTTTGCTATGGTTTGCCAAGCATGGACCTGGCATTACAGTACATCCATAGCCAGCTGCTCTTCTCAAGGTTAAATTATCAAGCTACTCAATTTATCAGTCATAACAATTAACTATACATACCTACCTATATTATGTTATTGTACCGATTTAATTATAAACGCCCACAAACTGATCATATTTCACGTAATAATCGTAAAACAATATCTATTATCATATATTTTGACAAATTCACTATTGAGTATTGTTTTATTTTTATGCGAAAATTGATACTTCGGGATGTAGATAATAATTGTATCGGCCCAACAGGTTTTTAACGTAAAATAAATAATATACCTACGGCTTCATGTTTTTCATAATGTATCTGTATCTACTTAAACCTACCTACCTTACCTCTTGTTCCATAGCAGTCGGTTAAAAAACACAAAGAATTACATTCATAATAGTAGTACATCTCTCATCTATGTACCAGGCAAGCATAATGTACGAGGAGGTAGTTGAACGAGACAATGAGTTCATTAGGCGAGCACCCTTCTTTTAAGGGTGTCACTCCAAGTTTCCAGCATAAATCAAATACCAATTCTTACTGCAGTCGGTAAAATATTCAGTGAACTTTATGCCCAAGTGTCAGAGTCTAGTTTTTCGTTGAATAGTTGTTGGTTGATTGTAGTTTTTATGTTTTGTGGTTACAGAAAAACTAGAGTGCATCTCGAGAATCTAGATGAAAGTGCTTTCTATCTGTTTTATTTTTTTTATTTTTACATATGAACATCTTGTAAGTTTACATACTCTGGTAAGATATGCTCATTGTATATGCGATTAGATGTTGCCCCCGACTTCGTCCGAAATAAGAAAGAAGGAGAACCATTTTATTTACATTGTTATAGAAATTAAACACAAAAACAAGAAAAATGTGTATGTGAACTACTAACTACATTTGAGTACAAACACGAACATGTTTATATGTCTGTAGGTACCTATTCTTGTTTTAGTGCGCCACAGTTCGCCATCGGTGTCGAACAGTGAGAACCAACACATACCAAAGGCTGTTCCGCAAAAGGTTTACGATGTATTTATACTTACTACATATCAATGTTCGGGGCTTTATTTGTTGTGTTTGGTTTCTGTGGCAAATATTAATCATGTAGACGGGGCATGGAATATCTACAAGGCGTTCTATTGAGAATGCTCAAAAATGTTCAAATATCGAACGTCAGTCTATTTGCAAACATGCCTGAAATGAGCATGCTAATATTGAGCGACATTCTGACACATACACTAAGTGATAAGTGCTTAATTGAGGCATGCTTTCGTGCTTGACATTAGCTTGTGTAACGCTACTTTATTCTAGCGGATTATGTTAAAACAATTTAGATAACGATAGATACATATCGCATACGCCGAGAACAATTCCAGACTCCGTGATAATACTGGTAATTGAATAAAAACGAAATTCCTCCAATTATAATGCTTTCCAGTATCGAACCGCAAACCCCTTGCTTGACAGTGAAGAGACAGCTACCTAACAGCAGAAATTAATAACAAATCCTCACCAAAAATCTCTGAATTGAAGTATTAGGACCGTCGGCAGAGGGTGCTCTAGACGGCCATATACTTGAGTCGCGGAGAACCTAACGGGTAACCGGGGCTCCGGCTCGACGTGCAGGAGAAGGAACGGGGTGGTTTTTAGTCAGTAAGAGTCTGACACTCCCTTCCGCCTCACCCAGGCGGGAGCAGTCATTCGATGATTTTCCCCCCTTAAGAAAAAAAAAAGACGGCCATATACTTATATCGACCAGATTAACGATATATTAAAGAAGGGCCAAATTAAAAGTATAGACCCTTAATCGTCTCTGCTTACCCCTATTAGAGATAGGCGTGAGGTTATATACGTTTGTCAGACGCTATGCTTGAAATTACCTTTATACATAATAATAATAATAATAAGCCCGCAGGGCACCTTGAGGCGAGGTGACGGGCATTAGCGATCCCGCGGGCTACCATCATCCCGAGTGCTCCAGGGAGAAGTCACCGTTCCTTCTTCTCCGGCTTGCCTTAATTGGCTGGCTGGAGTGAAAGATGACAAGGAACAGGTCTCCCACCTCTGGCTTGCCTTCATTGGCTGTCTAGAGTGGAGTCGCGAGAGCAGTGATCCTGCTCGGAGGGTAAGAAACTATTCGTAAGTCGCGAGTGGGCCAGGGATGCAGGAGGCTTCGGCTGGAGCAGATGATCTGAGTAGAAAGCGGTGGTAGTTTCTTAACCCTTCAGCCACTCACATTCTCGTTGCCCCTCTGTTGCTATATCTAGCAGCCATTCCCGGGGCCCGGTCGGTGAGTTGGCGAGTCTCCGCCTGCCATTTTTACGTGTAAAAATTACATTGTTTCGGCAGGTGCCATAGTCATCCATAGTCCCCAATTTACCAGTCCACAGAAACCCATCCATAGCCCTACCTTTTTTATTTATTTTTTTCCATTATTCACAATAGTCCTACACCAACCGGGGACTGTCCTTGGGTGCATTTCCATAGTGCATACAGGGATAGTCGCCGGTTTGTGTGTCCATTACATTTATATTAAAGTTGTCTAAAGGGCCTCTGCGCAGTTGGCTTCGGCCCCTCGTACGCCTCCCAAATGACCGGGACCCTGTGGTCCCGTGAATAGTAAAGACATATAATAATAATAAATAAGCTTTATTGTACACCAAGTAAGTAATTACACATATTCGGATATTATAAAGAATAAGGAGGGTACAAGGGCGGCCTTATCGCTAAAAGCGATATCTACCAGGCAACCTTTACATATACATATTGACTTAAAACGACCAATGTATGGTGAGTACTGTGTACCTATACCTAGGTATTAGGTATGATTACATATTTATTACTCATACAATAACAAAGTATGTACCTATATAACAAATAATATATATTACCTAGAATAACAGCTGTTAATATTTCCTCTAGGTCAGGCAAACCTTTATCGGGCCGGCACTGAAGCCGCTACATTAAACAACGAACAATTTTATTGTAAACAATATTTTGTTCCAGCGCAATTAAGATGTAGCTATACTAGCTTTTACCACCGGCTTAACCCGTGTTACCCGGATAAAAATGCCAATGTGTTATTCCAGACTGTATACTCTATCTCTGTGTCAAGTTTCATTTGAATCCGTTCAGTCATTTTTGTGTAAATGCGTTTTGTAGCATCTCTGCCTATTGTATAATCTATTAGGAATTTCAAATGTTTTTGTTCCATAAAATCATTGCTTGGATTTTTGCATCTACCATTTACTCTTCTCTCCATCACCCAAAGGTCAGAATAGGAGAAAATGCCTGCGGCATCACCTTTACATTATGTGCATGAAGCGTATTAAACTGTCAAACACCAAGCGGTCACCGGTGACCGCGACCTATTGTTCTTTAACTCGTTGAGTACCGTATTTATAGACACAATTAAAGAACAATAGGTCGCGGTCACCGGTGACCGCTTGGTGTTTGACAGTTTAATTGTGTCTATAAAACCGGTACTCGACGAGTTAAATTAATAAATACCTAAAAATTATTGACCTTTTTTAAGGTGTAAATATTTTAGTTCTTAGTTAGTTACATTTTAAATTGTATAATACATATTTATTTATTTAATTATTTTTGTTGTATATATATATTCATACTTAATTTAATAAACATCGCTACATGACAAAAAATAATAAATAAAAAGCCTTTTACTTTATAAAAATACTTTCTTTATTATCTAATATTGTATTTGTTCTTGTTTACATTCTGATTAAAAATTTCATGTATTTACATACATTCACATTTTATAAAAATTAATACAATAGGTTTATATAAACATCAAATAGCTAGCATTCCTGGTAAAAGGAATATTTACCATAGTTACGTGCTATTTACAATAATATATTAATCGGCAACTAATTAAAAATGAACGAGGATAAAAACAATGGCCGTCTGCTAAAACTTCAGTATCATAAATGAGGAAGACACAAATAATTTTACTGCCTACCCCCATGGGAGACAGGCGTGGGGTTATGTATGTATGTACTTATATACCCACGCAAATAATTTTCTAATACGACTTACAATCAAAATGGTTTACAAAGTCGTTCCATCTTGAATTAAATTCACGTATCGCACGCACTTTATGCTCCGCTTTCATAGCACTGTATTTCAAAGAATTTAACGCTAAACCTTTAAGCAATCTCAAGTCAGCAAGTCTACTAGCAACACCCACGAACGCCACGTAAAAGTCATCAGACAATGGATCAGCTTCCCAAGCACCAGGATCATCACTAGACAACACAACAGGAAGGTCTAAACTCAAGAAAATATTTAAAGGATGATTGCGAACATCTTTCACTAATGATAACACAGCGTTTGATAAAACATTAACTTCTATTCCAATGTCCTTTTCTATGACTTCTCTCATCAAAGCTGGATGCTTTGCAAGTGCGTATCCATGCCCTATTCTTTTAGCACCCAGTAATACAGCATCAACTAAATTTTCATCCGTCAATGTTCCATACCAATTTGTTTCACCAGCGTGGAAGAAGAAATTTAAGTCCTTAGCTTGGAGTAACTGTGGCACGAATTCTATTAGTGGATTCCCCAAATCTTCTTGTCCAACTAAATCGAATCCAGCATATAAATCAGGCATATCTCTTTTTATATGTCTTGCTGTCTGTATGTAAGAGTCCAGTACTTTAGCATCCACTTTCCTTGAAGGAGCAAATATCAGTTTAGCTCCTAGAAAATCGGGATAATCTTTAAGGAATTTGTTTATTGTTTTTCTGTAAGCTTTGGCTGTAATTATCTTGTCATACACAGTACCATCCAGCTCGTACAGGTTAGGCAATATGCTTCTAACTTCAACATACATGATGTTGTCGGCTCTGAAGAGTTTTAGGGCATCATAAAAATATTGCTCCCAATTTGGCCTGAAAGATAGTAAGCCATAAACAGAGGTGAAGTATCCCATGAATGTGGTCCATGTTTCCTTGATGGAAGGGTAAACAACGTCAGGATTGTCACAGACCAGGGTGAAATGTTTTCTCAAATCAGCGTCAAACTGCGTCACATTAGCTGCTCCTTTCCTCACATCCTTCATTAATTTCCAATCCCCATCACACGTAGTATTAGGAACGGTATATGAAAACCAGAACTTGATAGGTTTTCCGAAGCACACGTATAGATGGTCCATGTATGTAAGATTCACAAAATAGTCAGGTCCAATTATAGCCATATCATGAACATGAAGAACCGCTCCTTTAGGCATACTCTGAATAATCTTATAAACTTTAGACTTCTGGATTTGTTTTCTGTAATTGAAGAAGTGATGAGAAAGATTGTAATGATCAGGGTTGTCAAATCCGTAGTCGAGTTCGTTAAACTTGTGTTGCATCAGGCAGTTGTTTACAATATTCTCCTTATCGTTGAGTGTAGTGTTACCGCCGAGGGCCATCCTTAGTTCAAGTTCAACGAGTTGTTTCCGTTTCTCGTGATATTTGTCGTCACATTTTGCGTGTATGAATAATATTGGTAATATGGCTAGGATTACTGAGCGCATGTTTGTAACGCGTTCGACTCGGGCCGGCGTCGGATTGCCACTGAGTCAGGGCGACGACCTATGAAGTGATATATCACAGTTTATGGTAACAATGGTATTGTAATAATGATATTAATTCGTGTATTGTGTTGTGGGAAACGCATATGTTATTGAATGTGTGAGCCTGATAAAACGGAATGTTGATGATTATTAATTTTTACATGAAGCGTGGATAAATATATGTAAACATTGAAATTAATCTTTGTGTATTTGGGTAACAAAAACGAGTTTTGTTCTGAGAAATTATGCACATACATTGTCAGCCGCGGAGGGCTTAACATTTAGTAAAAAATAATTTTAATAAATGGTTATTAAGGTGAAGAGTTTGTTCGACCGCGCTAATTTTAAAAAAATACTGGTCCAAATTGAATAATTGAGTAGTTTCCAGGGTATCAAAATTAAAAATCTAATTTGTCCGTCAATTACATAATGAAAAAATATTAGACACACATTTTTTATTTTCTCGTATTAATTTACAATACTTATATAAAATGGCGCTAAGTTTAGTAGTGGGAGGTTGTTATGTCATAACGTGCTACAAAATGTGGCACGCTGTAACGTCACACGATATTTCAAATTAATATATCGTCGAAAGTATTTAATTTTGTGAGAAAAGAAATAATACGTGTCTAAAGTTGTAAGTTAATGTACCAGACGGACATTAAAACAAAATTTAGGAAACTACCCTATTATGTTTGTGTTGAATAGTCCATTTATCGAGGAAGGCTATAAAATATCACGCTGCGATCAATAGGAGCCAAGCAGAGCGGGTCAAACTGTCGCGAAGTATGTGTGAAATACAGTCACAAAAGTTATTTAAGGAAAATAACATACTTAGATAAAAGTTACGATTACAATAAAGTTATCCTTTTGCAATAAAGTTAAAAATGTTTAAATTAAACTCAAGTGTAATTAGAACATTATGTCTAATAATGACTATACTTTAACTTTACCTTTTCGTTATCACCGCCGCAAAACCAAAATTGTATGCCATACAATATTAAACCTTATTATCATAAGAATACACGTTGTCTTCTTATGTGCTGGTCGTAAAGTGCAATTGAACATGGTTTATTACAGCAACTGCATTTGGATTTACGACGCCGAATTTAAACTATGTTCTCTGGAACTAGCTACTTCCGCGCGGTTTCACAAGCTCTGCTCAGCTCCTATTGGTCGTAGCGTAATGTTTTATAGCCTATAGCCATCCTCGATAAATGCACTATCCAACACAAAAAGAATTATTCAAATCAGACTTGTAGTTACGGAGAATAGCGCGTTCAAACAAAAAAACAGCTTCCGCTTTATATAATAGTTTATTAAGATAAGATAAGATGTTTTCCGAAAGTTTTGATATTCGACAGTTTTGTGAATTTACAATAAAATTTAAAAAATCCAAACCCGTGCGAAGCCGGGACGGGCCGCTAGTTGTACATTATAACAATGTGTTCTACTTATTACCTAGTTATTATCGATAATTACAATTAGAAAAGTCCCATCTCTATCCGAAAGATAATTATGGGAGCGCTTAGAGAAAATAAATTTTAATATTTTTAATCGTTCGAGGGTAGTCGTCATTCGGCCAACGAGGCAGTCCTATTATTATAAATTCTCTAAAATATTATTGCTACCATTAATTTGTAGATAATGGACATCACCTTATTGATTGACAGGAAAAAAATACAAATTAAACTTCAACTCTTTATGTGATCCACAAATTGTTGTTCCGGGTCTGGGTGTGTATGTGAACTTGTTTGTTTGTAAACGCAACCACGACACAGAAGAAAATCCTGAGTGTGGGGCAACGTTTAAAAAAAAGAAAAAATAAATAAAGGTAGTATGTAGTAGACAGGAGCCATAGACATTGTTTCAAGATACTATATCCACCTTTTTCAACGTCCTTGCTTAACCCCTTGAGCGTCCTTATGAGCACCCGGTGGATCATAAGAAAAAATGCTCCATGCTGCTTTCTCTTTTATAAAATCTATTATTAATGTTTTGTTTTTATTTTGACTGTATTTGTTTTATTTCTATTGTAATGATCCTTGTTTTCGTGTGCCAATGGCCAAATAAATGCATTTTCTTGCATGCATAAGGATAATGAAATGCATAAGGAATGCGGACGCTCGACGGGTTAAGCACATACATTTTGACGGAGATTCTTTCAAAACCACATTAATCCAATAAAATAAACCTTCTTACAGACTTTAAACTAAGTCTAATACACATTTATTTTCATAGTCAAAATCTTTTTAAATCACAAAAACACTAAGTAATAGACGTACGACTAAAGATCTAACGTTACACCGCAATCAAGAGATTAAAGGGAAACGTGACGCGAGCTGCGTATCGTGTAGAAACCTGGCAGCCATTTTTTTTAACCATAGGGCGGTACTCTAAAGTGCCACTTAATCCGTCCAACCCTTTGCCGAGAAATCACTGCGGGAGCAATGGCGGTCTCTGACGCTTTTTTCCCTTCCACTTTGAAAACGAAACCCCCCGTTTCGCATACCAATGCTTGTAATACACACCACTGTTTTACTTTTTTTTTCTTTTGCTAATAATCTCGGGTATGTTTTTAAATAATTGTTTGTGGGAAACTTTGCTTGAGACGAGACGAGATTTTGCTCTTTTTCGTTTATTGTTTTGTTTTTTTTTTGACGGAGTTTCGGCGTGTGTGAGAATGAGGAGTCTATGGTCTAGCTTGTTCAATGTGTGTGCGTGTACTTGCCTTGTCGAATAGGAAAGCAATACTTGTAAATATAAAATGATATCTAAGTTTGATGAATTACAATATAAATTTGTTTAACTCGTCGAGTACCGGTTTTATAGACACAATTAAAGAACAATAGGTCGCGGTCACCGGTGACCGCTTGGTATTTGACAGTTTAATGGTACTTACCTACAAAACGTTTAAACAATAAGTTTAAATAAAATGCCTATATGATAGGCTATTGTTAGAGTTTTTTATAAATATATGATTTATTTTCTAAGTACCTATGATGCGTTACATTTTGTAATTGTAACCGTATCAACTATATAGAAAAATGAACATTTTTCTTATAAAAAAAGGAAATAAGCATCGGTTTTGTGAAATCTTATTACATTTTCAGTGGAATCAAATAAATGATAATGAAATCTCGTCTCTTCGTAGATATTTTTCTAGGTGTCCAGATCATATATAATCAATAGGTTGATATTTGTGTGGTATGTACCTATTAACACCTATAATTTATTGGTTACGGATACCTCTATACTCTATTCTAATATTCTCGGGGACAGTGCAAATCCTAAACTACCGAACTAGCATTGGATAATTCCGCGTATTTGACAAATGTAGCTTATTCAAGTTGCCGTGGAAAAATCCCGCATAATCTTAATTGGTTGCCACCGCCTTGACACGGGTTAATTTCGATTCATTTTTAATACGTGAAAATGAGCTTCAGATTCATTGAATTCATAAAGTTATTAAGTTTTAACCTTTACGTACCTGTAAAACTTTTCCTCCATTCTTTATTAATGATGGAGGTAAAGAAGAGAAAGATAGGTCTAGAAATGAACGTCATATCCAATGTTGTTTTAAAGTTAGTCGATGATGCAAGGAATCATCCGCTAGCTATCGAGCGATGATCCAGGTCCTTGGGAAGCTGAGATTTTGACTCATGATTTTTATGTTGCCTTTGTGGGAGTGTCTAGTCGGCATGCAGATCTTAAAATGTTGAAGCAGTTGGCTTTGAATTCTCTATGCTATAGTTCGTATAGTGAAAAGCATAAATTGGTGCATGAATTTCAAATCCGTTGGATGAAGTTCATTGATTCAATTGTTAAAGATTAATGGATTCATGTTTAGAACCTCGACGTGTATTTACTATCTGAAATTTTTTTGTACTGGTATTTAAAAATATTATTAAATTTTGTGTGTTGAATTTCTTTCTTATTAATCTTAAATAACAGCGGTGTTTGTAATACGAACCTACGATATTTTAAACGGTGAGTAGGTTGTATTTTAAATTTGATTGGCCGACGTTTGACCACTATCTCGCCTGGTGGTAAGCGATGATGCGGTCTACGATGGAGGACGTCGTCCCACAAGCAACGTATTCACTCGGGCCTTGAAGACACCCAGGTTATACCCTTCAGGAAATACAGACTCTGGCAAAGAATTCCATTCCTTAGCAGTACATACAAGGAATTTAAAGTTGCTCTTTTTCTTAAAAAAATCATAAAAAATATAAACTCATTCTCTGAGAATTGATAAATTGTATTTTACTTTCACCAGTTATGATTTAAATCCCATGTATTTGAAGGTGAATTTTACTGGCTATAGTTATAGTAGGGTTCTAAACTATCAACATAATGTTTAAGAATATTTAAAATCGAAACACACGATTAGTTTCTTTCACTTGGAAATCAAAGCTGACACTTTTTGTAATGTTGTCATGTTAGATGTGACCCGTTAGCGTGTATGTGATGGGTCAACGTTTCACCATTCTCTCTTCTGGTGGTAAGCGATAATGCAGCCGACAATAATAGGCGAGAGTTAGCAGTAAACTAGTTTATTAAATAAATATAACTATCTACCCGCCACCATACAAATATTCCCGACATCATATTGACCGAGACGGTACATTTCTCCCCCTTAAGCTATAAACTTATCCTCTTACACGCTAAATAACTAAACACTAATACCATCTTAATCTATAGGTTCCTGCCGAGCCCGATTATATGCTCGCAGAGCACGGGCAGACGCACCGGGTGGTGGTGGCGATGTTCTCGACTTCAAGGTTGTTTCAGACCCAGTAGTTTGTAGTTTCTCACCAACACCATCCGACGCGTCCTCAAATGTGTTTCCAGACTCCTCACAAACCGAAGGGGTCTCCTGCTCAGATGCTAAATCATTACCCCTAGAAACTATGCTAGTGCGGGATAACGAATGGCGATTCTTGTTACCTATAGGCATA